GGGATACAGATACAAATACCAATATAGCGAGCGACTACAAGTTTTTTTTCGTTTTTTTTTCTGTTCAACAGATTCTGTTCTATGGTTCATGTGATTATGTATGACATGTCTATGGAGACCCGACAAACCACACCTTGCTTATCATCAACCACTGGGCATCATATTTCTCCGTCAAATCATTTTGAGCCAGAAAATAGAATTTGTAAAAAGAGCTGGGTATCATGTCTAAACAGTAGTTGTGTAAAAACTTGTATATAAAACCTTCCAATCTCACGCCGCCGCCGCCGCCCCCTTCCCACCCCCCTTCAAACCCCTGACCTCCTCCCTCAACCCCCTCACCTCCTCCAAAACCCTCTCCTCAAACTTGTCCTCCCCCCTCTCCATATACAACCTCCTCAGCTCAAACCCAACCTCAATCGCAATCAGTATTATAATAATCCACTCCAACCTCGTACTGTGCGCCTCGCTAGACATCTTCTCGCTGATATCCAACACCCCCTGCGTCATATTGATCACCTCCTGCGCATACGTCATCTTGTCATTCAACGTCTTGATCCTCACCCCCACATCCAGCGCCTTCCCAATCTTGGCGTAATACGTCTCCAGCTTCTCCTCGGTATCCCAAAAGATATCCGGCAGGGAGTCCGTCAGGTCGTTGTAGTGATTCAGCTGACTCCTCAAGTTCAACAGCTCGCCCGCCTTTTTGAGGATTAAATCTCTCGACAGCGGGGCGCGGAGCCCCTGGGAGAGCCGGTCGGGGATGTGGCGAGTGCTTTCGAGGTAGCGGGTCAGGGAGGACTCCAGCACCGCCAGCTTGGTGCTCCTTGCCAGGCCGGATGAAAAGGCGATTTTGGCCAGGGTTGTGTCGAGCCCCTCGCCGGATTCGAGTTCCCTTCTTGTGCCGAGGACTACTACGTCTCCATTCACCCTTGACTCCTCTGCCTCTGGGTCGGCGACGAACTCGAGGTCTTCCACCTCTTTGTTTTCGACAAAAGGCTGTTCCGCTGCTGGTAGCAAATGTTTCGTCGCGAGAGTGTTGACCACGTCAGGGGGGAGCGCCCAGGTGACCACCGTTCCTGAGGGGAAGACAAAGATATCCCCGTTGTTGAGACCGCGGGCGTGGACGACTTCGGAGAGTTCAAAGCCCGAGTTGTCAGGGTCGAGGGTGAAGTTGTGACTAGACAGGATATCGACTACTTTTTCCATGTCGAACGAGTCGGCTACGCAGACGGCCGAGATGGTGGAGGAGCCTTCTGCTGCGTCGGGGGCTTTTTCGGAGGGGGTTGGTTGGGGGATGGGTTTGCCTTTTTGGGCTACGATGGCCACGCGGTGGAGGGAGTTGCGGAGGGGGGGCTTGCGGCGCTTTTGCTGCTGGTGGTTGTTGGGCTTGTCTGATCTTTCATCTTGGGCTTTGTCTTCCTTGGGAGTTGGTTTGGTGGGCGTCTTGGGTTCGCCGCCGTCTGCGCGGAGCAGGGAGGGAGTGGTTTGAATCCCACGATGAGGCCGGGGGTTGCGACCCTGCGCAAGGAGGGGTCGTCGTGGGACCTGGGCGAGGGATGTGCTGATGCTGCGGGTAGCGAAGCCGAGATGGGGGAGAATGGGCCTCATGTTGGGGCCATTGAGGGGATTGACTGAGGAGCCAATTGGAATGGTGGTGGGATATGTGCTGCCGAGTAGCCCTCGGACCTAGAGAAAAACGGAAAACAGGGTCCAGGGAGAAATCCCAAGATTTTATTTTCGGACGGCAGCTTCGGGGGAAGTTCTAAGTTCTCGGCCTCGAAAATCCCGGCCGGCAAATGGTAATTAATGTCGTCACGGCGGGGCATTATCGGATGTAATTACGCCAGATTTCGTAAACGGTGTAAAATACGCCCACCGTTGGGAGCTGCGACCACATCACCAAGCTCCACCTCCCCACCTGCCATCCAAGCTCAGGACATGTCACCCTGAACAGCCTTGAGCTTCTCACTTTCCTACCCAACCTAACATCCCTCTATAACGACGACAGCTCTGACATCTCTTCCAGCAACCATGACGACCATGGAACACGACATCCGCCTCGAGGACTACCTCGACGACAAGCTCCAATCCACCACCGACTTCGATCACCTCGACACCCTCCTCTCCTCGGTTGAACACCAACGCTCCCAGCTCCAATCCCAACTCGACGACGCCACCGCCGCCCTCGCCCAGGCTAGGCAGTCGGAATCCGACCGCCAAAACGCCCTCATGGCCCAAATAGACGAGTTCCAAAGCCTCCAATCCTCCATCGACGTCCGCCTCCAGATCATCGCCTCCTCCGACGCCCCCGACGAAGCAATCAAACGCCTCGAGGCACCGATGGGACAGCTCCGCAAGGTGGACCTAGCCTACAAATACCTCCTCCTCCTCCAAGACGTGGCCAAACTCCGCCAGGAAGCCCGATCGCACCTCCCCGAGTCTCCCAAGCAGGCGTTGGAGCCGTACACCAAGCTCAAGCAGCTCTGTCTTAGACTCAAGGAGCTGCAAAACAATGCAGACGGGGCAGCGGTGCATCTGGTTAACTTTGTCGAGGGGGTCACAGAGACGTTATGGGACGAGATGAAAGCCACCATGTCCGCCGAGCTGGAAGCGGTTCTCAAAGCTAGGAAATGGCCCAACGTTGATCCCGACAATGCAGAAGTGGATGAGGAATGGCTTGGCTGTTTTGAGAAGCTGATTGATCTTCAGGTACCTGAAGTTCTCTACTCACCGACGGTGGTTACCCTTTTACCGTTTGAGGTAATGGCCCAGATATTTGTCAAGGAGTTTAGGTTTCATTTTATGAGTGATAAACCCACCAGTGCGCCGCAGGCGATTGGGGCGCATTGTTTCCCTTGGTTTACTGCCTTGCTGGAGAAATGGGAGGATTTCCTGAGGGATAATTTTGGCGGGGTGTTGGCGGCGAGGTTTGCCGAGACGGGGGTGGGGGAAAGGATGGTGTATATGGATCCGGTGTGTGGGTTTATTACGGCCATGTTGCCGGTGGTGAGGGAGAAGGTGAGGGATACGCTTGAGGCTACGAGGGGGGATGCGGCGTTTTTGAGCAGCTTGATGGGGCAGCTCATGAGTTTTGATGAGACGTTGAGGGGAGGGTTCGCGTATGATGGGGGGGATGATGATGTGGAGGAGGGATGGGGGGGTTTGACTTCGGAAGTCCTGCAAGATCACTTTAGAACTTGGTTGGAAGCCGAAAAACAGTTTGCGCTCGAGAGATACCAGGGTATCATGAAGACTCAGGATGCGAGGATGATCGACTATGATTTTGCTGGGGTGGGGAAGACGAAGCCGACGTTTGCGGCGGTGAGGGTGACGGATTTGCTGAAGAGCGTCACGACGCAGTATGAGAGGGTGAGGAGGTTTTCGCACAAGTTGAGGTTTCTGATTGATATCCAGCTTACTATTCTGGATGAGTATCATGACTACTTGAGGGGGACGCTGGAGGCGTATTTGAGCATTACGTCTACGGTAGGGAGGGCGTTTGGGGTGACGAAGGAGCAGATTGCTGCATTGGAGGGGACGGGGGCTTTGGAGACGTTGTGTAAGGTCTATGGGAGTGCGGATCATGTGGTGAATGCGCTGAAAGATTGGAGCAACGAAGAGGTATTCTTTCCCCCTCCTTTTTTTTTTCTTTTTCTTTTTTTCACCCCCGAAAAAAGCTAACAGGCAAAAAGTTCTTCATCACCATGTGGGAACAACTCCAAAGCCGCGCCAAGGTTACCGAAGACCAAAGCAACCTCGCCGGCGGCATGAGCTACGACCACGTCCGGAACCGCACCTCGGCTGTTGTCGGCACAGAAGACAATGACAATGGCGTCCTCTTTGACGAGACCATCGCCGCCTACAGCGCGAGAAGGCAAACCGCCCAAAAGCTCTTGTCGGAAGCACTAGCCAGCTCCCACCACAAAATCTTCAGAGCCTACCTCCACCGCGCACAGTGGACCACCATCTCGGACGAGGTTGATAATCTAGCCATCACGGCCGAACTAGATGAACCACTCCGTATCCTCAAACGAGACCTCGACTTCCTCTCCCGGGCACTGGGGACCGCTCCCTTCCGCAGGGTTTGGCGGCAGGCGCTGGAGAAGCTGAATGATATTCTCTGGACGGAGGTGCTAATGTCGCACAAGTTCACCGCTTCAGGCGCAGCACAGTTTGCGAGGGATCTGGCCGCGATTGAGGGGGTGGTGGAGAGGTATATCCCCGATGGGTCGAGTGCCTTGGGGAGCCTGAGTGATGCGGTCAGGTTGTTGAATTTGCCGCTCGAGGGAGAAGGAATGACGTTGAAGAAGGCCACAGACATGGTTTACACAGACAATACCGAGGCGAAGAAGATGCTGGAGGAGGTCGGGGTTGCGGATGGGGGCTTGACGGCTGCGAATGCGAGGCAGATTTTGGGGAGGAGGGTTGAGAATGCCGAGTAGGAATAGAAGAAGAACAAATCGCTTCATTTGGCTAGAAATCTAGAGAAGGGGGGGGAAAAATAAAAATCAAATGGATATCATCCGACCCTTTGGTGTACAATATCCCGACCAACATGCAATACATTCGCTTTCGTTGAAGACTCCCCAACTCCTTGACGTGGTGGATCCGAGCCCGTTGAGGAGCATTCCCATCACTCCCCTCTCCTCTTGTCTTTCATCTAGTTAATAGCCCTCATCGTCATCTCCACCACGGCAAACGTCCCCGCACTGACAGGCATGGCCCTCAGCAGCGTCGGCCCCAAGCCCTTCCAAAACCCCCTCATCCCCTCCTGCCTCCAAACCTGCGCGAAACAATGCCTCATATTCCTATATCTCTGCTGCCCCTGTCCAAACCCGTCGGTCTGCATCTTTGACTTGACGACATCAAACGGGTAACTCCCCAACCACAACGCCTCCCCGGCAAGCCCACCATACAGCGCCACCTTCCAGCTCGGGATTTCCTTACGGTCGACCCTGTTGCGCTTCGCGTCCGAATTCATGAGCCACTCAAACGACAAGAACCACAGCCCGTACGCCTGCGCTTCTCTGATCAAAGTGACCGCCTGTCCGCGGTAGAGGCCGTGGGTAACCCCCCCCCTGGCGGACGAGCTGTCTGACGCAGCGAGCGGGCCGGAGTAGAGACGTGCCGGGCCGTGGGGTTGGGTTTGCAGGCGGATGCGGACGTGTTCGATGGGGCCGGAGAGGACGGAGTTTGCTACTCCGGCGAAGGCGCCGGCGGAATAGTATTGGGAGTATGAGAGTTGGGATTGGGAGAAGGGGAGGGAGGATTCGAGGTGGCGGCGGGCGTAGTGGAAGGCGCCGAACTGGATTGAGACGCAGGCGCCGATGCCGAGGAGGGGGGTGAGGGTTCCTTTGTAGAAGGCTAGGGGGCCTTCGGTCGTGTAGATTGAGGTTGCGGCGGCGAGGGCGGAGGGGTAGAGGGTGGAGGTTTGGAGGCGGACTTTGACTATGTCGAAGGGTTGGCCTTGAGTAAACAACAACAGGTTAGTACGGGGATGGATAGAAAAAGAGTTGTTGAATTATGAAGGGGGGTTCATTACCGATCAGGACCTGAGCGATTCCGCCTGCTGCGCCGGAAAACAAATCTTTGAATGTCTGGGATGCGCCGCCGCTTGAGGGGGCAGGTTCGGGGAGGGCGAGGTCTTGGGGGGTTGTTGGGGCGGCCATCTTTATGAAGTCTGAATTTGTTGGAAAAGGAGAAGAAAAGAAAAAAAGAAGAAGAGGCTCTCAACAACGACAACAACAACGACAACAACAACGACAACAACGACAACCGTCCGGCCCTGCAAAAATCACAATGGGTGTGTGTTATCTTTCCCAGAAAATAAAAAAGGGCCGGTCTCGGGTTCGTGGCCGTTTATAAGACGTGGTGGTGGGGTGTGGGGTCGTTGTATCTATTCTGTACCTTGGGGTAAACGAACTGTGGAGGACCTGAGTGAGAGAGAGTGTGGGGAACCTGAACTGGCAGGCGAGGACAGGGGGCTGATGGCGTGCTTTGGGGTTTCAATATCGGGGTAGATGCATAACACTGGTTGACGAAGATATGGCTGTTGGTGTTGTCCTGGAGGTAACAGATTGATCAATGAAGGATAAAATAAAGATTCGAAGCTGGAATGTTTTGGGGAGTGGGGTTTCGACATGTTGAAGGGTTCATTGAGGTGGTGGAAATATAAAAGGCAGTCTCGAGCAGGGGAAAAAGAAGATGTATGAATGTATAAGATTTAAAGATATAAAGGAATGGAATTAAAGATTTTGAGAGGAGTTAAAAGAGAAAATTGGCAAGGAGCAAGAAATTGGTGGGATAGATATTTTGACTCATCATGTTGGAGTCTTTCAGGACATGTGCCAGATAGACTCAATTCTTTGGCATCTGTTCAACTGCCCAAGTTGTAAGTTGGTTTATTAGACAGCTTTTGATTGGGCAATTCAACTCAAGCAACAAAAGATCTTACCACCCATACATCCAGCAACTACGCCCTTTAAAAAGTATCATAGATAATAATGCACTGTCTTTAGATAAAACAAACCACCCTCCCTTTTGAACCAAGGCAGTGCCAGTTTCCGCTCATGAACAGCTCAAAAGTCTTTTTTCCAAAACGCCGCTGCCTCTTGCCCTGTCCGCTAACAGAAACAAAATCAAGGTGAGAAGAAAAGCACACAAGAAAAGCCCGATATTGTTCCGACTTGAAAAAAACCTTTCCTGCCTGTCGCTTTCCTGCCCCTCCCTACGAAAAGAAACAGAAAATAAGAATATGATATTACACTTCCCGTTCTCCGAGCCCCATCTTTCCTCGTGGTTATCTATTTCCCATCCATCCATCCATCCATCCATTACATCATTGAGAACGTTCTCTCTCTCTCTCGCTTTCCCCTTTTATACACCACTTCTGGGAACCCATCCATCAAATGCTTTGTTTCCATGTGGATAGAGGCATATACTTCTTTCGATTGTTTATACCCTTGGTGAACACTTTCAAGGCATGGCCGGCTTGACAAAGGGCCCCTGAGGTCCGGGGCTCAGGGTTGGAACAACGCCCTGCATCGGGCTGGGAACATGCGGTACGGGCACCGGTGTCTGTGTGCCATTCATGGGAGGCGTCGGACTTGGTTGGTGCATGGCCATCTTGGGCCCTGGTGACGCCCCGTTGTTGCCTATTTGCATCTTGTTGGCGGCTGCCATCTTATGGACGTCCATCTGCCCACCGAGACCAATCCCTGCCAAGCCCACAACTTCGCCTTGAGCAACCTTGCCCATGTGTCCACTCACACGCTGTTCCGCATCCGCTCTGGCGCGAGCTTGCTCCATGACCTGGCGCTGTTGTACCTCGGGCATAACGGTTGCAAAGCCAGTGAGGCTCGAAGACGGTCTGTTGCCCCCTTGCATCATGTTTGGCGAGGCAGGATAAGGCCCGCGCTGCTGCACGTTGTTGGGCGGCATCCCAGGAGTCCCAGGTCCATAAGGTGGGCGCCCATGGGGTAGTTGCTGATGCTGTTGCGGTGGGGTTGGCGATTGTCCATATGGGTTCTGTTGTGGAATCTGCGGAGAAATAGTCCGCTGCATAGGTCCGCCATTAGCGTAGGCTGGGAAAGGCGCCTGCTGCCCATGTTGTGGCGGGTGCTGCGGGTTATGTGGGTGCTGCGGTGCATGTTGAGCCAGCGGCTGGTGGTGTGGCACCTGCTGATGTTGCGGGTGCTGTTGATGCTGGGGGTGAATCTGCTGATGCTGGGGAAAGCTTTGCTGGTAACCCTGTTGGGGATAGCGAGGGGTGCCTTGTTGCCCCATATAGTTAGAATGAGGTGGCGGCGGCGGTTGTGGCATCCGTTGCTGCGTGGGACTGTTGACGTAGGGCTGAGGAACACCAGAATGGCCATAGGGCCCTTGGGCCTTGGCAAGCTGCGGTGCATACATTTGCGGCCCCGGTGCTGGCCTGTACTGGGTAGGGGGCGGTTGGCGGGGTTGGACTTGGTGATGCGGCTGCGGGATCGGGACGGTAGACGGGGCCCGCGGGAACATGTTCTGCTGAGGCCGAACCGGTGTTTGTGGAAAGTGCTGCGCGTTGGCGATGGGACGGGCCGACGGTTGGAACTGACCGGGATATTGGTGGTTGCCATATGTGGCGGAAGAAACGCTCGGGGTCCTGTGCGCCTGGCGCTGGACGGCGTTTGTTGCAGCTTGAGCGGCCTGTCGCGCAAGGCGTGCTGGTTCATCCTCCTCCATGACACCCCTGTAGTCATCCGACCGAACCTCAATCTTGGTGCTGACAGCCAGCTCTTCCAACCTGTCCGAGTTGAGACGAGCGACGGCGTAGGGAGGCAGGCTCTGGATGATCAAGGCAAGCTGTGCCTTGAGCGTTTCATACGTCATCATTTCCTCCTCACTTGGCTGTTGCGAGGCGTTGCCGTTGCGCAGCATATCGCCATTGTTGGGGTCGGCTGAGTACCGGTCTTGACTGGTCGGTACAGTCAGGTTGCGGTTCCGCTGGAAAGAGGATAGTGTTTCAATCATGTCAGTCACCTCGTCGAGAAGGTCCTCCACCTCCTTCTCCCCATCCGACCTCTTTCCGAGTACCTCATCCAAAGTAGGGTCAACAACCACAGAATCCCAATTCTCAATGGCTTCCTTGACCAAATCATCGTCAATCTCGGTTACCAAAGCGGGATTGACAGCATTCTCCTCTTCCTTCTCATCGAACGCCTCCTCGTTCATCTTTTCAAAGTTTCGTCGACCAACCCGCTGCCACCAAATCCGGCTGATGAGGCTCGAAGGAACAATCGCAGCCGAGTCATCTTTGCTCGGGGCGAAGCTGGAGAAGGCGCCTCGAAAAAGCGCTTCCATTTCCGACAGTTCCAGCTCAACTGAGGAAGGCTTGACCCCTGCCAAGCTCTGGGCTCGTTCGCGCTGCTTGGTTTTGGCGTGAATGGCCGGTGTCGCGTTGCTGTAATCCAGCCAGTGTCCAGTGGAGAGGGGCTGGGAAAAATAAGTGCCAGAACGATACTTGGATTTCTCGGTAAGCTCGGGGTGGTAAAAGGTAAGAACATTGCTCTTAGTGGTGTTCTTGGGCGCCTTTGGTGGTTGCAGAGGTGGGAGGTTTCTTGGGGAAGGGAACAGCTCTCCTAGTGTCAGTGAACGGGCATTCTTGTCGCTGGCCGCACACACGTCTGGGTGAATCTTGGTCGCAGTAACTCCGTTAGGCAACTGCCCGTCTCCCAAGGGCTTGACGACTCCATCGGGTGAAGCAGGATGTTGCAGACTGGTAAAAAGTGGCCTTAAATTCGGGGCTTGACCAAACGTCGACAAGACCAAGCTACCCTCAGATCCTGTTTCCTTTTGGCCAGGTCGCACCGCCGGTAAAGATTGGGGCAGTTTGGGGTACGACAGCTCTCGTCGGTACAGCTCCAAAGCCGCGGCTTTGAAGGATTTCGTCTGGCTGATGACGTCCTCGTTGGCAGCACCATCTTCAATCTTGAGTTCCTTTACCTGGTCTTCGACCGCCTTGGTGAGATCGCACATCAGGTCGTCGAGAATTCGGTAGGCCCCCTGTGACACCTTGTCGGCAATGGTGGTCGGCTCGTCTTCCTCGGACTTGGCTCTTTTGAGGGAGGGCTCACCGTCGGGGGCGGGAACTTGGAGATGGCGCTTGAGGATGGCTGGAGTGGTCTTGTCGTGGCTGATGGGAATGAGGTCAGTGGTCCAGGGTAGCCAAGGGCAGAGATGCGAAGCAACGGTGCTGTCATGAAGGCACAGCAATTGATACAAGGCAAGAGAGCGCATACCTTTGTAAAACATCAAAAAAGTCGCGAATGAGGGATTGATCATCGTGGCAATTTTGGAGGCCGTTCACCTGGGGCTTGGAATTCTTGTCGTCGTGGTCCTGCTGGTCGTCGTTCGCATCGCGTTTCCGCTTGGTGGAGGAATTAATTGAGTCTGCGGGCGAGTCTGCACGCGACGAAGCTGCGACGCCGTTGACACTCGGCGCGGCGACGTCGGGCGTAGCCATGGTTGGCGGGGAATGAGTAGACCCGTCGAGGTGGTGATGGACCCCCGGGAGGTGGGATGGTTGGCCGTGTGCAAAAAAAAAGGTGGGTGAATTTTTAGCTGCGTGGGTTGCAAGTTGTCGCGCGATTCGCGTGTTCCTGTTCGCGAAAGGGAGAGCAGCAGCAGCACCAAGCGGCAGCAAAGCAAGCAGCTTACTCGGTACCCTCAGCAAGCAGCCTCTTCTCAAAACGTTTTTGTCGTCTGCACCACGGGCGCGCTCTCAACGGGCCAAATTCATCCAAAACAGGAGCACGGGATGGGGAAAGGGGTGCCCTTTGGATTTCAAGTCAGACTTGGGGCGGCACTCGGCATCCGATGGCTATTTTTTGTCTGTTGCAGGCTGCGAAGGGCTGAGGAGTGATGGCGGAGGGCCGTCGTTCAAACTCAACCCCCGAGGACTGGTTTACGAAAAGCCAGCGCGAGGCTTATCCACACTAGTCCCCTTCCGTCCAGTCTGTGGAGCACTTTTCCCTTAGGTCGGCACGTGACCAGCCCCCCCCCCCCCCAAGCCCCTGCTGCCCAGCACTGCACTCTGCATTTGGCATTTGGCTGCATCTGTCGCAGCATCAGACAGATGGATGACACGGAGCACAGCATAACTACGGAAGTACGGAGCATAGTACACTCCCGAGTAAAGTAAAGTAAAAGTAATGCAGTAATATGTTCTACTGGATTGCTATCCCATGATTACTTTACAAAAGGAAAACACTACTCTGTGCGCAACTTGTTGCTTTGGACGTGTAAGGTACAGTTTCCATCCGCCGCATTACTGATTGATGATGATGTGTGTTGTGCCAACTCCGGAAACGACAAAAACAGCAAAAATACAAACTGATCAAACCAAAGCCACAACCGCAAAAAAAATAAAAATGAAACCAACTCCGATCCCTGCGCTGTTCATCCCATCCCATCCCATCCCATACCATCCTGGCATCCTGTCATCACGGTCTCCCGCCCTTATTCTTCTTTCTCCTGGCCGGGTCGTCGATGGAAAGCGACTTCCGTGGCTTGTACTACTTGGCCTCGGCAAGGCTGACAGTGTTGGCGCCAAGGTCGTAGATAGAGTAGTATCTGCGCAGGAAGGAGTCTCCCAGAATAGCGAGAGGTCCGACCGGCTCGGGCATGTCCATGGGGAAGAAGGACGAGATGCAGCTGCTGCCAGCCTCGAGGACGTAGTCGTAGGGGCCGAGAGTGAAGTTGTAGCCAGCAAGGTTGAACGTGACATCCTTCATCGAGTCACGCTTGGCGCAGTCGACAGTGTACTGACCAGTGTAGCCCTTCTTGGCACCGATCTGAGCGTTCAGCATCTCAGCGAGCTGGCTGGGCAGCGCGATGAGGGAGGTGCCGGTATCGAGGATGATACCGGTGTTCTCGAGATCAGCAGTGTCGTCACCATAGGAGATGGCGTCAAAGTCCACCTCCCAGTAGGCCTTACGTCTGAGGGGAATCGTGATAAGCTTGCCCTTGTACGCGTCCTTGTCGACACCGCCAAAGGTAACCTCGGACTCGCCCTCGGTATCTGCAAGCTTGAAAGCAAACACGGGCTCATCAATGAGCTTCTGCTCAATCATCTTGTAGAAGGGGGGCACGATCCCGTTCACCGAGATTCTGTCAAAACCGAGACCCATGATACCATCGAAACGGCCAAAGGCGAAGGCCAGACCAGGCTCGCTGGTGGCCTCGGCGAAATCCTGCTCCTTAATCTTGATGTCGCCAATAGTCATGGTGTCTTGCGACACGTAACCACTGAGCGACCCGGAGCCGTACCGAATCTCAAACGAAGACCCGTTGGCCTTGAAGGTCGAAGACGCAGAGGAGTCATACTTGGAGTGCAGGTAGCAGGCGATAGACCCGCAATCCACCGACGGCACCCAAAGATTAGAACTTCCCGTGTCCAGGACCACCTTAAAAGACTGGGGAGGAGTACCAATAGTAATCTCGGAGAAGTCTGTCGCAGCACGGGTTAGTATGGCGCCATTTCCATCTTATCGCAGAGCGTCATTTGATGGATGCACATACACTGAGCGTTCATAAAGTTCGAGATGGGAACGGGGTGGATGCCCTTAGGGTCGGCGAGCGAGCCCTGGAAGACAGCATTGGCATGGCTCTGCTGAGGCCGGATGCCCATGTACTTCTGGCCGAGGTGCTTCATCTGAGTCTCGAGAGGGACCGCCTCCTGCACACGACAAGCATTAGCAAACAACTGTCGCAGACATTCCAAAATGGATAAAAACATACCAGCTGCTCAGCAAGAGGGACCTTCTTGAGCTTGAGCTTGTGGGTGCCACCGGCCTGAGCGGCTCCGAGCAGCACAGCTGCGGTAAGAAGAGCGCCCTTCATGTTGGGCAGTCCGATAAGCGGGTTGCGGGAAAAGAGAGACGGTGGTGATAAGAGAGCGTCGGGTCGGTCGGGTGTGGAGGTAGGTTGTGGGCGATGGTGTTGATGGAAAATGGATGCAGTCAAAAGACTGATGTTAAATGGAAGGGGGGAGGGAGGAGAAAGAGAGTTGGAGCAAGTCAGTTGGAGATGGATGGGGAGAGGTTAACGGTGACGAAGGTTGCTGGGTCTGGGGTGGTCCTGGGGCCTGGGGTGCTGCTTGGCTGGCCACGCAGCCTTGGCTTGTTGTGGCAGGCGGCAGACTGAGAGGCAGGGTGGCGCTGCTGACGACGGACGGGCCGGTGAGAAATACAGAGTAACCGTATCGGGTATCGTGATACCTCCGCTTGCGTTGTGGTCTCCCCTGCCTCATGACGTCTTGGCGCGGGGAAGCAGCGGCCAGGCACAAGATGTATCGTAATTACAGTGGTATTGTACGGCAACCATGGCAACGATTGGGCGGATTGATCACGCAGGTCGTCTGGGAATCTTGGCTGACCGTTTCATCCAACTGTGACTCTCGCTTCCGGGGATTCCATTACCATTCAGCCAGCAATAGCCAGCCCATCTGTGCAGAACTGTCCACCTAGTCCGCCTGTCCGACCTGTCCGCCTCATCTAATAGTCAATCCCGTGACCTGTCGAACAGGCTCCCGAGCGCACATCATTCTTCGAAACTATCAGCCGGTGTGTCGTTGAATGGATTGTTGAATTGATGGATGGCATTCGCCACGGTGAGCCGCGGCAAGAACCTTGATGGCACCCTGGTCTGATTGGCGCTCAATCCACTGAGAGGTCAGCTCGAAGAGTCTGAAAAGCAGGCTTTCCGGTGTAGAGTTTGCGAGTGTGAAGCCTTATGAACAATAAAAATAAAAGATGGAGTATAAAAATTATCTATAGGCCGCGACGCCCTCTTAAGAGAGAGACTTCACTCCCCCCTATATCAGATTACAAGTGGGTTATGGCAAGATGACGCGTTATCCATTCCCAGGTTCACCGGTGTAAGTCAGAGACAGCCAATGACTCCCAACTGTTCGGATCGAGATATCGGCACGCAACTCCACCTTGATCCGATTTTCCGGTCCCGATCCCGGGCCAGACTCACGACAGACATTCCAGTGTAGCGACGTCGGGACGGTCGGTCTGTCGGTGCATGCGGTGTGGTGCGTAGATCTCTCTGAAGTGGGTGACCGCATAGTGCGATACCACATCGAATTGGCGTCTGTAGTAGTGACCAGAATACATACCTACCTACAGTAGTTCCATCGTAAAAGTCTTATAGAGAGATGGCCAAGACTCCCAAGATAACCTCCACCTTCAAACATCAGGAACAGAGGACCGAGATCGCTGTGGAAAAGTGGCCGAATATGACCGATTCGGTCATGGTAGACTTCGATAGATGCATGATGAGCTTGGCATGACACTGGCTGGGTGTTGCAGGTCCGTGAGGTCCCAACCGAAGCCCCTCCAAACGCCCCTGTTGCCCCTCCTTTCCGCTGCAAAGCTCCGCAACTGATGCTCAGTCACGAAGTGGGGGTTCCCAAATTTTTCTTTCCTCCCTCCGATCCCCCCTCCAGACGGCCCCCCGCCAAAGAAAGACAAAGACCCTGTGAATCCTCGTCTCACTCTCAAACTTTTTTTCTCTTCCTTTTTCCTCATCACCAAACTCAATTCCTACCATCATCCCCCAAGTCATCCGACTTACACACAAGACACAATGGCCTCCAGCACATACGCCCTCTCCGAGGAGCACAAGCAGGTTCGTAAACAGACTATATTCCCATGATGAAGACCTCACTTACTGACTCACCGCTTCTAGCTCCTCGAGAAGTCCCTCGTGGACTCTGACCCCGAGGTCGCTGAGATCATGGTACGCCTCCGTTGGAATTGAATAGCCTCGATACATGGCCGGAACAGCAGCATTGACCCCTCCTACAGAAGCACGAGATCCAGCGTCAGCGCGAGTCCATCATCCTCATCGCCTCCGAGAACGTCACCTCCCGCGCCGTTTTCGATGCCCTCGGCTCCCCCATGTCCAACAAGTACTCTGAGGGTCTCCCCGGCGCTCGTTACTATGGCGGCAACCAGCACATCGACGAGATCGAGCTTCTCTGCCAGAAGCGTGCCCTTGAGGCCTTCCACCTCGACCCCGCGAAGTGGGGTGTCAACGTTCAGTGCTTGAGCGGCAGCCCTGCCAACCTCCAGGTCTACCAGGCCATCATGCCTCCTCACGGCAGACTCATGGGTCTCGACCTCCCCCACGGTGGCCATCTGAGCCACGGTTACCAGACCCCCCAGCGCAAGTAAGCATTTCCCAGCTTTCCCCGGATCTACGTTACCCCACAGAGAGCTAACATGGGCCTCCCTAGGATCTCTGCTGTCTCCACCTACTTCGAGACCATGCCCTACCGTGTCAACCTTGACACTGGCATCATTGACTACGACCAGCTCGAGAAGAACGCTCAGCTCTTCCGCCCCAAGATCCTCGTCGCCGGTACTTCGGCCTACTGCCGCCTCATCGACTACGAGCGCATGCGCAAGATTGCCGACTCGGTTGGTGCCTACCTCGTTGTCGACATTGCCCACATCTCTGGTCTCGTTGCCTCCGGCGTCATCCCCACTCCTTTCGAGTATGCCGATGTCGTCACCACCACCACTCACAAGTCCCTCCGTGGTCCCCGTGGTGCCATGATCTTCTTCCGCAAGGGCGTCCGCTCCGTTGATGCCAAGACCGGCAAGGAAACCCTCTACGACCTCGAGGACAAGATCAACTTCTCCGTCTTCCCCGGGCACCAGGGCGGCCCCCACAACCACACCATCACCGCTCTTGCCGTTGCCCTCAAGCAGGCCGCCTCCCCCGAGTTCAAGGCTTACCAGGAGAAGGTTGTTGCCAACGCCAAGACCCTCGAGAGAGTCTTCAAGGAGCAGGGCCACAAGCTCGTCTCTGACGGTACCTACTCCTACATGGTCCTCCTCGACCTCCGCCCCTTCGCTCTTGACGGTGCCCGTGTCGAGGCTCTCTTCGAGCAGATCAACATGACTTGCAACAAGAACCGTCCCCGGCTACAAGAGCGCTCTTACCCCTGGTGGTCTCCGTATTGGCACTCCTGCTATGACCTCTCGTGGCTTCGGCGAGGCCGACTTCGAGCGCGTCGCCAAGTATATCGACGAGAGCATCAAGCTCTGCAAGGAGGTCCAGGCTGCTCTCCCCAAGGAGGCCAACAAGCTCAAGGACTTCAAGGCCAGGGTTGCCTCTGGCGAGGTTCCCCGCATCAACGAGCTCAAGAAGGAGATCGCTGAGTGGTCCTCCACCTTCCCCCTCCCCGTTGAGGGCTGGAGAGTCGACGCTGGCCTTTAAACGGGTCAGTGTTTTGTTTCAAAAATTATGTGGAAGGGGAATGATATCCGGCGTATAATTTGCCACCTGTTCAACAAAAGGTAGAGGGCGGGGTTTTTTTCTATTTTATGGGTCATGGTTTTTGTTTTGTGTCATAGCATCTAAAAAGTAATGGTGCTTGGGATCACGGAGATATACCTCAACGAATCGGGAAATCTGGCTTGCATGGAAAAAGAGATCAAATGGGAAAGGAAAAAAAGAATTAACAGAGAAAGAAGTCACTTTCTTTTCATGGTCACTTGCAAAGAGCATATCTTGGCGGCGTTTTTGCAATGTTGTATGGGAGAGGTGATCTCTTTTTGTTACTGGTCATCAACTTGCCAGGTATTGGGTAACAAGGGGGGTAGGGAAGGAGTATGGGGTGATGATTTTATGTGTCTGAACATGGTGAGTTGGTACGGTATGTGTATGTATGTCGTGCTGGATCGAGGAGAGGCTGTTCTGGCTGGTTGCTTTTCAACCGCTTCAACGCGGTTGGTTACCCGGAGGTGTGAGGAGGGTTACATGCGGATGTGGTCGTTGGATAGCAGTTGAGAGACGAAATTGAAACACGTCCAAGTATACATGTGTTATGTGACGGTTCCTTGGGTGAAATGTAAGGCTGTGTCGACATGATCAATTTGCAGGGGGAAGCTGGGAGAAGTTGTTTGCAGGTTAAAGAGCCATCCTACTTGTTGACTTGCTAAGTCGCAAGCCAGGAAGGGAAAAGTGAAACCATGAGGACAGTCCCATGGACAATGTCAAGGATGTCAAAAAAGGAACATTTTTAACAGGACAGAACCCTCCTCCCTTCATCTTCCAACGCAAGATATTCATCACTCTTTCTTTCACTTGTCACTATCTCAGGCAGACAGCAGTCGATTGAAAACCCCGTAGATATTTTTTCTACACTAGTGTTTCTTGATGTGTGAAATAGGTCCCATACCAAACCACCTATATACCCAAGTGGCCAACCGATATCATGAACCAATACCTACAATAAACAGCCCGTACATCTATCTATCTGCAATGACTTACAGACACCCAGTTCCATCACACCCCATCCCCCTCCAACGTACAACACAGCATCAACAGAACCCAACAACGGCCCAAAACATTAGCAGCAGTGTATAAAGCGTGTATATGTACGTCTCTCTTTCGCTTCGCTAAATAAAAGCCTTGTGCTATACTATGCCACGCAACATGCTATGACTTTACTCCCCCTATCTTCCCCCCAAATTTCACCTCTATCCCCGCCTTAATACATCAACCCCTTCCTACCCCTCTCTTCCAAAAAAAAAAAGAGAAAACACTACTATAAGAATAACAACAAATGTCGGTCCCGGTCAGAAAAAAAAAGAAAATTACCAAAAAAAGAAAGAGAAGTAAGATACGTTGAAAAAAAAAAACCCAAAAAAAAACAAAGAAAGATGAAAATGAAGTTTATGACCAGTCAGTCAACCGCCCAAAAAAAACCAATCCCTTTTCCATCTCATCAGTTATACATCCCCTTACCCTTCCCCTCCCAAACACTATCATACAAACTCCCCTCACCCTCACCCTCACCCTCACCTAACATCCATACTATCCGGACTCATCATCCCCATCCCACCACCACTCCCCCCCACTTGTTGCGTCCCACCACCATCCTCCTTCTCAGTCCCGCTCTCCCCGCCCCCAGCCGCCACCGTCGGCAGCGTTATGCTCCCAACACCACCACCACCACCACCACCAACCACAACCTTCCTACTCTTATTCGGACTCCCCCCTCCCAACCCACCAACCAAACTCCCCGCATTCTGCCCCGCAGTAACCATCCCCAACCCGCTACTCTCCATCTTCTTCTTCTTCTTCGCCAGCGCAATCTGCTCCTTCGGCGGCCGCTTCTGCGGACTAACAATCTTGCCCGTCGCCCCCAACCTCGGCCTCGGCCTCCGCTGCTTCACAGGCAAGTCCTCGTCCTCCACAAGCGGCGCGTCCCCGTTAGCATGCAGCTTCGCCAAGAAGAAGTTCTTGACCAGCCCGATCTGCTCCTGGATCGAGTCCCTAGTAACCGGCTCCGACGGCGGCAGCGGCTCAAACATGTCCACCGTCCCCACCCCCGCCCCCGCCGTCTGGGTCTGCAGCTGAAACTGGTTCCTCACCCGGGATTGGAGCAGGTGCAGCGGGACAGACAGCATGTCCAGCCCGAGCTCCTTGTCCAGACCGAGAGACTTGAACCCGAAAAAGTCCTCCCCGAGGTCCTCGGCAAAGTCCCCTCCCACAAACTGCTCCGAGCCGTCGTTGAAGGCCCCCGAGCCGTCGGCTCCCGCGTCGTTGAGGGCCGGCCGGAGGAGGTCGGCGAGGTGGGCTTTCATCCTTTCGTGGAGGGTTGACAATTTGCTGCCTAGCTTGCCGACGTCGTCGCGGGCGTAGGCTTCAAGCTGCTCAATGTCGTAGCCGTTTTCGTCGAGGGTGTGGAGGATGACTTCTTCAGGGGTGTACCGGCGTTGAAACTTTGCGCCCCTTTCCGCAAAGACACCTGTGGCGGGCTTGAGTTCCGCTTCGCGATAGACGTTGAAGGTTCGGACGAGCTTTTGGAAGTAGTCTCCAGCAATGTCGGTGATGGTGTCGAGGGCAGAAGGTTGGAGCTCTTCGAAGCCGGCGTGGTAGAAGATCTTGGCTACGGAGCGCTGCATGGCTGCGCGGCAGACTTCTCCCGCCATGACCGGGCCCTCGCCGGCGAGGAAGTGGGGCTCGATATCCTGCTCGATGAAGGGTTCGGGATTGTACTTTTGGAATTGGTTTTGGTACATCTATTACTGTTAGCAAGCTATCAAAACCCAAAAAGAAAAAAAAAAAAGGAAAGAAAAAAAAAACATACCTGTGTCTGGATCTGCATCTGCTTGATGACGCTGATCTTGGAACACAGCTTCCTCGTCTCCTGCATTTGCCGAATGTTCGCATCAAACTTGTTCGTCAGCTTGCTCATGGGCGAGATGAAGTGCCCCTGAGGAACCAGCTGCAGCATGTCCTCAAACTGGTTGATAACCTGCCCTTCACCATCCTCCACCCACTGGAGCTTCGGATCAATGTCCGGGATGATCGTCTGAGGCTCATAGTACGCAGGTATGTTCTTCACCACATCATCTTCCATCCCCTCCGCCAACGTCTCCGACGCCTTGATCCCATCCTTCGACCCAGCCGCCGAAGCATCAGCCTGATTCGACCCCGGCAAAAGCCCATGCGCCTCCGCCTCCCTCTGCGACTTTAGAAACCGCCTCATCCCAGCCTTGGTCCTCAACAACGCCGGCTCGTCCACATTCAAATGCCCATCCGCAAACAACCGATATCGCTCCTTCGCTATCAACGCCCGGTCCTTCTTCGTGACCTGCTTCCACATCTTGTAATCATCATCCTCAAACGCCTGCTCCGCCGCCTCGCCCAGCGCTTGATTCAGATGAATCCCGTTCAGCGACGGCCCGTCAATATCCATCGCATCAGCATTACTGACACCGGAGTGATGCCCGTTCAAGCCGCTGGGCGTGATGGATCCAGCCACCGGCGGCGTCCCAAAGCCGTTGCTGCCGTCAATCTCGGACCCCTCCCTATGTCTCGCCAAAAGTCCATTCAACTGCAGCACCGGCTTCGTCTCCACGTTTGGGGTATCTTCTTTTTGGTCCGACTGCGCCTTCCGGGACTTGCTCGCCCCCTTTGTTGCTTTGCGACCCCGCGAGGACATGATCGGCTCGTCGTCGCTGTCCTCGTCATCTCCCCCGTTTTGTTTCCTTCTTTCCTCAGCTTCCACCTCCGCCCTTGGCCTGATGACAACATCCGGAATCAGGGGTATTAGCTTCTCGGCCTCCTTGCGCATCGAGTTGGCAAGGCGCCGGAAAGGGTGGGCCATGTCCTGGTTGTACCGGAGGCAGTTGTCCCAGATCAGGTTCAGGTCCGTGACGAACTCGGTCTTGGACTTGTACTGAAGCTGTTTGAGCTTCTTCGTCATGGTCCCCATGTCCATCGGTTGTCTGATTATGTTGTAGTAATCTGGCGCATCCCTCTTGTTGACGCGGTTCAGAAACGGCGTCGAAAACTCGGTGTGCGCCTTGAGCTCGCTGAGCACCTTATCCAGTGCCTCGTAGAGCTCCTCCTGTCCTACATTTTCCTCACTCGCCCATTTGCTCCGGTTCTTGCGGACTTCGTTCATGAGCGAGCGCAGCTCGGCATCCGAGGCCCGAACCTGGTCTCTTTTGAGGTCTATCCTGGCGATGAGGTGCTTCAACGTCAGGCTCGAGGCGCCCAGGTTGGCATTGCTGAGCGAGCCGTGGCCGCCCTGGCTCCCCGGCTGACTTGTGCTGTTGTGACCCGTCTTGTCCATCTCGGCCTGCAATTGTTTTTCTGATTCTTCCAGCTGCTGGTGCTCGAGCATGGCGGTCCGGTCGTTTTCTAGGGTGTAGAATAGTGTGTGAAAGCTGCGCTTGGCAGCCTCCTCCGTCGCGGTGCGCGCATCCTCCAACTCCTTGCGCGCATCCTCTGACGACTTGACTTTTTGTTGCGATCCATCCTCTCTGCTCTGTTTCCCAGGGGATGGCACCGAATGCACTGGGGAGCTCCCCGATTTCGATGGGGATAGCAAAGTCTTGGCAGCAGCGGCGCTAGAGTGTTTAGAAGCAATGCGATTGGCGCCGTCTTGGGATTCCTCGTCATCGTCGTCGTCGTCATCGTCGTCGTCGTCGTCGTCGCCGTAGTCGTCCTCGTCGATGACGCGCTTGGCCCGCTTGCGGGGTGGTTCTTGGATCGGCGCGTGGTCGGTCGCGGCGGGGATCAAAGGTGCGGGTGGGGTCGGGGGACGCGTGAAGGACGCGAGAGCAGCCTGGTCGTAGCCCCCGTCGTCACCAAACAGCATCTCCAGACGGCGGTTAGCGACTTGAAACTTTTGGGCGAAGAGGGCGCGGCGATGCTGGTCGTCGAGGTCGGACGCCTCAGGCATCAGTGAGGGCGGGTGGTGGCCGCCGCTGGGGGTATTGGTCCGCGGCAGGCCGTCGTCGGCAGCACCACCGTGATAACCGTGGCCTCGGTCGCCGTTGACCTGGCTTGCCGATGGCGGCGGCCAGGCATTCTGGCCATTTGTGATGGACATTGTCCGGTCCGGGGATGCTGGGGGGAGTGCGGTGGCTCGGTCGCCATGCGCCGGATATGCGCTCGTGTTCTGCCGACACCAGGGCAATTCAGGACGTCTTGGTCACATGGGAAGAAGCGTGGGCACCCAGAGAGATGGTCTGCACAGTCTCGGCCCGGTCGGCGATGAGGTGGTTGCGTATTGATGGATTCAGTCGTGGGTGATTTCGGGGCGAGTTGGACGTGAGGTCAAGTTTAGGACAAGGCTTCTGCCGTTTTTGGGAACAAGGGGGGCGCCGCGATTTTGCTGGCTGCAAGCTGCAGTGCTTTTGCCAGAAGGGACTTGGAAGGAGGAGAGGTGATGTTGTCGCGCACTCGACTTTTGAGGTCTTGATGACTCAAAACTACAGAATATGGCTCAATCCACCTGCCAGAGCCTGCTACAGCCGTTTCGCATTGTGCAATCCCCAATTTCTTGCTTCAGTCAAGCTCCTACACCCCAGGGCCATGTACCCGCTCGCGAGTTTCTGCTGCCCTGTCTTGCCCACCCTGGCTGGGGAAAGGTGAAAGTCACGTGAACCGCTGCTCGGTGCGTCCAACTCCTTGCAGAAACCAGGCCTAGGAGAGCAGTCCGTCGAGTGTGGCAAGGGACAGGTTACTCTGAGATGTCATTTGTGTTCATCCAGAAGTGATTTCTGTTTTTGTGTATTCCTGGTTTAACCAAGTCCAGTGCCAGTCCAGCGCTCGACCTGCAGTGAGGCTCTGTCTCTCTGGAATTACAGCACTCTCCCAAGCGGGCAGGGATTCCAGTTCCCAGCGGCAGGCCTGCCACCCCCACCTTTTCCTCCCCCAGAGTTCGGCCCCGTTTTGTCCCGCTACGGCGCCACGTTCAGCCCCTCTCCCCCTAGCCCACTGAAGCTCCAGGCGGGTACTGCAGGAAGCCGAAACCTGGAACCCAGCAAGCTCACCCATGGGCAGCAGCCAGCCTCAGAAGGTAACAACAGCAGGCAGCTCAAATCTGACATGACCTAAACCAACGACAGACTCACAGCAAGAAAAAAAAAGAAAAAAACAATGACGACGACGGAAATCACTCCTACTACAGAAAACAGTCAGCCTTCATCTTGGTGATTCATCTCACGCGCGCCCAACGTCATATCTGTCACAGACAGACCGACAACCTTAGCAAAACAACCCCACGTTCAACCCCCGAGAAATAGCCAAACAAACCACACACAACAACAACAATGAGAATACGGCTCCCCTTCGCAGGTAACCATTCCCCATTCCCCATTCCCCTTCTCCCCACCTAACCTTATATATACACCATCCACTAACATCCCGCCCTTCCCCCCCCCCCCATCAACCAGGCGTTTTCACCCTCCTTCTCCTCCTCTCAGCCTACGCCGGCCTCTCCACCCTCCAACTCTCCCCCTCCCTCCCCCTCAACGACAAAGCCCTCCACTTCCTCACCTTCTTCCTGTTAACTCTCGCCTTCTACTGGGTAATCGACACCACCCGCCGCCGCACCCTCAACCTAACCCTCGCCATCTGCACCGTCGGCGGCGGCATCGGTTCGGAAATTTTGCAAGGCCTTCTCCCCAACGGTCGGGAGTTTGATCCATATGATGTCGTCGCCAATTTAGTCGGTTCGTTGGCGGCGGTGGGGTTGTGTTCGTGGTATCATAAGCGGATGCTGGAAAGAAAACGGCAGAGGAGATATGGTGGCGAGGGTGGTGCTGGGGAGGAGCTGGAGAGGTTGCATGATGGAGAGGAGGAGGATTTGGAGTTGGGGGAGGGGTTGGGGTTGGGCAGGAGTTTTGATGGGCAGCAGGAGCAGGGTGTGACGACTGCTGCTGCTGCTGCTGCGACGGAAGAAAGGGGAAAGAGTTTGGAGGAGGAGGTGGATAATTGGGATGAGAATGAGGTGGACAACTGGGATGATGAGGAGGAGGAAGAGGAGGAGAGTGAGGAGGATATCGGGGGGGCTGCTTCGGGTGCTGGGAGGGTGGGGGTTGTGAACTGGAAGAAGAGAGCAGATTAGGAACCTGGGTGACGACTTGCTGGTTGATGTTCAGGTCTTTGCCAGAAAAAAACAAGATATCACAGAAGCTGCATGGATATTGGAAACCAACAACGATGATTATTGTTTGGGGAAAATGGGGTGGCGTAATTTATTTACTGGTTTATGGTGGTTGTGTTTGTGGGTTTATCGCTCGTTATGCTAGATATGAGGGTGGGTTTTGGATGGAAATTGTATGATCTACCTTCGGAATAAGCGAGGGGGGGACGTCTGATGTTGCTCTCAAGTCAACAGCTGGTGAAGTATGGGTTCAAATTAGCATCTCGTATCAAGCATGCTTTGCAGGTTACCAGAACTAAAAATGAGCAACGTTCTGGCTATGAGGTTACACCCCTTGTCTACATCGACTACTGCATACTTCTCAAAATCTCTTTCTCGATCTATCCAACCATCAAAGCCCCCTCAAAACCCAAAACCCTCCTTGTGAAACCAAACCACCCTCCCCCTCCTCACCCAAACACCCACATACTCCCTCAACTCCCTCGCCATCTCCTCCGGCCCGCACACCACAACCGCCACCTTCTCCTCCTGCCCATGCCTGAACATCTCATCCACCACCCTCCTCAAATCCGGCCTCTGCCGATTATGCAAACTGGTAAACCTCCCCCCCGTCCCACCACTACCGCTCCCGCCGCTGTTACTCCCGCTCCTCCGTCTAAACATCCTGCTCATCTCCGTCCCCTCCGCTCCACTCCCCTCCCCCCCATCCTGCTGTTGCTGATCCCAAACCCCACCCCTCGTCCTCCCCTCCGTCACCCCCGTGACATATATCTGCACATTCTCATCATCCATCAACCCCTCCCTCAGCAGCGCCCACGTCGCATCCCCCGCAGTCCTCACGCTCCAAACCATCTTCACCTTCGCGTTCGGGTTCTCCGCCACGACAGATTTGTACACCGGCACAGTGAACGTAGCCCCTACACCGCCCGCCACGAGCAGCACCCTGTCAAACTGGCCGAGATTCGGAAAGTGCGTCACCGATCCGTACGGCCCCTCGATGTTAAGCGGGATCTTCCCCTCGTTTCTCGCGTCGGGAATCGACAAACTGTTGGCGGATCGAGAAGGAGGTTGCTGCTGCTGCTGCTGCTTAGCCAAAACAGCATAATGCCCCAGCGCAGCCGTCATCGGACCCCCATTGTGCCTCGCAATCATCGTCACCTCGCTCTCCTGCTCCCCCACGCTCGCGACAGTAAAAGGGTTGAACAGAAACTCAAACAGCAGGTGCGATATGCTCGTCGGGTCTTGGAAAGTCGCTCTTGCTGCTGCGGGGATGGAGAGGTAGATGTGGCTCCCCGGGCTGCCCCTGAACCGATTGATCTTGACGTGAGGGATCGCAGCGCTGAGTTTGACGAGGTTCGTGCCCGGGATGGACTCAAACTTTGCGTGGCCAGTCACCGTGTCCATTTTTCTCGAGATCAGATCGACAAAAAAGACGAGCAGGGCCTGGATCATGTATGACCTTGCCGGGGCGGCGTGGAAGAGGATGAGGAAGGGGATGGAGATGGCGAGGAGGAGGTGGGTGATGAAGAAGAGGCGGTAGGAGAAGCGGCGGACGGGGCGGAGGGCGGTGGTGAGCATGAGGTTGAGGGAGAAAAAGGCGACGACGCCGGCGAGGACGAGGGGGACGCCGAGGCGGTAGAGGCGGTTGTTTTGGATGTAGAAGTTCAGGTAGAGGGCCGCGTGGATGAACAAGAGGGTGGTGGTTACCCGGGCCGAGACGCGGTGCCAGCGGTTGACTTGTTCGTGGGAGGATTTGAGGAGGTAGGAGAAGGGGTTGAGGGACTTGAGGGAGAGGAGGTATTGGAGGGGGTATTGGGAGACGGCGACGATGCCGAAGCGTTTGGTTAGGTGGAGGTAGTCTGTCGTGACTGTTAGCATCTCACTTTACATGGATGTAGAGACACAACTCGCCCTCTCCCGTATCCTTGACTGAGAGCACCGCCAGCCAAAGAAACCACACGACCCCAAGAATCCATTCTATCAACTGTCAGCTTTCACCCTTGTACCTACACCTCCCTGAAAAAAAAACAAAAAAAAAAAAAACTCACGATCCCTCTGCCCGTAAACATGCCCCGCCGCAACCACATCCTCCCCCAACCACCACCGCAACCGCCTCTTCCTCACGCTCCAAGACCTCACCCCCTCCTCCCTCCGCTTCTTCATCACCGGCGAGCTCGGCACAGCAGCATACTCTCCATTGGCACTCCCATCCACCCTCTCCCTCACAACCCACTTCGTCAGCCTATACAGCAAGATCAACACCACCGGTAGCAAATCCGAAAGCTGAGCCGCAAGGCCGTAGTTGTCCAGCGCCCGGCGCCGTGCCTGCTTTTCGGCTTCGGTCAGGCCTTCAATGAAGCGGTAGGTGAACAGTCCCATTTTGTCCAAGTTTTCTCAGTGGTTGTTTGCCATTCCCCGAGGCTTCCGTCAAGGCAGATCCGGTGGTGTATGTATGTATGTAAACAGCGAGTGAGGCTGGACCTCGGAAAGTTGAAACAGCAACACGAGTAATGACCAAAGGAAGGTTCAGCTTCAGCCAGCTGCTCTCCTCAACAAAAACATGGAACCGCGGCCAGACCAACACAAAAAGCTATTAGCATTCCTGGACACTCCACGCAAGCCACGTTTTGACACCAGGTCCGCCGAGTGAGCGGGGTGGGGCGTTCGTCGGGATATTTTGGAGATCGCGGGAGAATGTGGGGGCAGCAGAGCAAAGCTGTCAAATTGTATCAACAGGGGTCATACCACATTGGGGGTTAGGGTTGTGTGCTTCACTCCCCCCCGTCAGTTATTCTGCGGAAGGTGACCGGCGGTGGTTTGGGCCCTTTCGCGGGTGCCATTCCACATGTTCCAGCAGTCTCGTTACCCAAAACAACTTGACCACCTGGCTAGTTGGTGCGAGAAGGGTATTGAGGTGGCTGCTGGTGAAGTTGCTTGGATGGAGTAATATGTAACTGTGGTTCCCTCGGGGGTGGTTGATGTTCCGCTCAGCATGTCGACTACCTGCCGCCGGCCCTTCTGCAAATCCATCTTCTCGCCTGTCTCGTGAAGCATTTCTTCAGGTGTTGTGATCTGCCCAACCGCTCAAAGAGTACGACGCCGACACACCTACTGCAGGTACCATCAAGACAATACAGGGCCTTAACTCACATGTAGCTGTTGAAGCGCTGCTGATACGCCTTGCAGCCGTGCGAGTTCGTCCTTTTATTTCTGCGGCGTGTGGTCTTCCAGTAACTCAAGTGCAATTGCGCAACCTAAGAAATCTTCAGCCTCGTTAGGAAGGCAGTCGAGAGCGCCCATATGGAGTGTAGTCAGCAACCGAGATTCATCGCCCAGGCGAAGCCGGAGATGTACCTGTCATGACTGTAAGGTGTGTCTACATTGTACCGTCTATAATCTAATCACGCCAAGGTCCATCTCCCACAAACAAAAACATGTACGTTTACAACCTCCTCCAAATTTCAACCCGCGCTTTTCCCAACCCTCGGCTCCACGCTGCACCACCCAATCATACAAAAATCTCAAATCCAACCCTCCAGCGTCAATTTACTCTCCTCCCACCTCTCCCACCTCCCCCACCTCTCCTCGCCCTGCACCACCATCCCCTTGACCACCTCCCTCCTCACATCCAAATCCTCCACCTGCCCCGTGATCTCCAACCACTTCCTCAACAACCCCCTCAGCTCCTCCTCCCCCTTCCCCAGCACATCAACCCCCCTCTCCTCCAACGCCACCCTCACCTCCTCCACCACCAACTCCCCCTCCCCCCCGCCCTGCACAATCATCGCATCATCCGCCACAATTCCACGCCAGCCTCCTCTCCAGTTTCCCCTTCCTCACCACCCCCGGATAAATCCACCCCGGCACAAACCTCGGCCTCCCCACCCTCAGCACCTCCCCAACAACCACATCCAACCCTCCCCCTCCCCCTATCCCGTACAGCATCCCTCGCCCGTTTCCTCACAAACCCTATCCCTCCCCCTGATTCGCCTCAACCTCCCCTCGGCATCCAGACACGTCAACGGCGTGAACCTTCAGAGTTGCGGCGCCCCCAGTATAACCACAGGCGTGAACTCGGCGCAGACAAGCAATATCAACGAAAGGGGTATCAGCCTCCCCAAATCATGCCTCAACCGGGACTTCAGTATCAGCGCCGCGCGCGTGTCGGGGTAGGGTTTCAACTGCTTGAGCGGCTCAGGCAAAGAGTCGAGGGGCGTGTAGCAGAGGCGGCGGTTCACGAGGATGGATTTGAGGCCGGTTTTGTAAAACGTCAGGATGGCCTTGCCTTTGGCGAGGAGGTTCCGTGGGAGGGAGAGGGAGGGGTTGTTTTCGGGGATGGAAAAAGGGGGGGGACGGGTGGTGGGGGGTGGGTTGATGGTTTTGTTGTATTGGATGTCTGGGGGGGTGAGGTTGAGCGGTAGGGGGGGTTGAGGGGAGGAGGAGGTGGAGGTGGTGGAGGTGTAGGAGGAGGAGGAGTTGAATCGGTGCTGGAAGTGAAGACGTGAGTGAGCTATGAGAGTTGAGTTGGACAAGGCGGCATGATGAGATTTTGTGAGGCCGAGTGGGCGGTAGTGAGCAGCAGCGCGGTGGGCGCTGAGGAGGATGGGGGTTCTCATCGAATCAATTGGTGTCGATTTGGATTGTTGACTCAAGTACGAGAGTGCAAGTTAAAAAAGAAATGGTTATGGTGAAAAAATCAGGGAACATGTTGTGAGAGTGAATGAGTTAGACGTTGCAATTTCACACCGTTTTGGTGGTGTAAGTCAAGCCAGTGATTTTTGAGAACGCTGTGGTTACGTCAGGATTCAGGCCTTGCGTTTTTTGGTGGTCTGTGCTCCGTTGCTGGCGCGTTCTTCATCTAGGAAAAGAGACAGGGGTCAATCACCAGGAACCAGGGGTCAATATTCACCCAGAGTCTTTCTTGCCCATTTGAAGATACGATGTTGTTCAGTGAAAACCTCGATTGCTTATATAGAACCGTAATCCTGTTCTAAAAAGACGACCCAGCCTTGACGGCATCACGTAGTTGCCCTGTAAGAGGATATCTATGCACCTCCCTGATCAGCAATAGGACGCGGGGCAAAATATCCATCATCTCTAGCTTGACATCTGTGGAGTTGTTTTCTCTCCTCCCAACCACACCGTCTTCTCCTCTTCACCAACATCAATCACTTCTTCGTTTCAGAAACATACTTCACCCATAATCCTTAGCCACCATGGCCCCCACCGCCGTCTTCACCCAAAACGCCCCCGCGCCCATCCCGCAGCTCAGCCAAGCCATCAAGCACAACGGCATGGTGTTCTGCTCCGGCTCTCTCGCCACCGATCCCAAGACTGGAAAGTTCATCGAGGGTTCCTTCCAAGATCGTGTGGTAAGAATCCATCCATCGCTCCTTTCTCGGATACCTTGCATATTTTGACACACAAACCAGAGACAATGCCTCGACAACCTCAAGGAGGTCCTCCTAGCGGCGGGAAGCAGCCTAGACCATGTCGCAAAGGTTAATGTCTTCTTGACCGACATGAAGAACTTCAAGGACATGAACGAGGTTTATGATCAGTTCTTTACCAAAGAGCCCAAGCCGGTAGGTCTTGCAACCTTTGCCGGCCGATTGAGTATTTGCTGATGGGGGTGCATCGCATAGGCGCGGACTTGTGTAGCTGTTTACCAGCTGCCTTTGGGGACTGATGTTGAGGTGGAGTGCATTGCTGCTGAGATGCCAAAGGCTAAGCTCTGAGAGATGTGTACTGAATCACACGTATTTTCAACGATGCGCAACTTTGTCCAACCCAGATCTTTCCCCTGCCAACGCTACCGACACCGTGCCCTTCCCCCTTCTCTCAAAAGTACCCCTACGAGCACTGATGATAGTACTGATTGATATTCTTACACGTAAACCCAGCCGCGCACCTGGTGCAACCAGAATAATTCTGCCCACCGCACTGCTGCCACTGCGCAGCCTCGCACCCGCTGTCCACCGGCTCTGGCTGGGTCGGGACCGGCACCTCCTCCACCACTGGTTCAGGTTGGGTCGTCACCGGACCTGATCCTCCGCTGCCGCCGGCGCAGGTGAAGAGGGGTGGGCCAGGGATGGTGTACTTTGAGGACGTGGTCATGGAGTAGATGTTGACCAAAATACCCGGGTCGTTGGACTTGTAGATGCCGGGGATGGAGTACGTCTTGGGCGAGACCGCGCCAGTCCCGCCGACGATGTTGATTTGGGCGCATTCCATCTACAAACCTACGTTAGCACCATGTAAGAGGGGGGAAGGGGGAAGGAGGAAGGGGACGTACATAAAGCTGAGCACCACCTGACGAACCAGCGCCGTGGAGAGCAATCATCTCGGCGCGGAGGAGGTATTGGCCCGGGGCGATGCAAGAGGGGATATCACTAGTACTGATATCAACCACGAAAGTTCATACAACAGAGAGAGGAAAAAAGAAAAAAAAAAAAAGGGGGGGGGGGGGGGGGAAACAAACATATAATGCAACCCAGCATTATTGATAACCTTGCTGGTCCCCCAATTCCCCCCGTTATAGCCATCCTCCTGAATCTTGAACCACCCCCCTCCAATCCCCGTGTCGGTCAGCGCATTGCTAACCTTTTTCAAATACGCCAACGTCGGCCCCTTGTGGGAAGCATCCATGACATTATTCGGCCCCGAAGTCAGCGTGTGCCTCCACACCGCTTTGACCGTCGTGCCTGCCTGGACGGTGATGACCTCATTCGACTTCATTGTCGGGTTTGGCCCCCCATTGCAGGCCAAGTCATTCGAGTTAACGTTGGTGATCGGGCCATCATAGGTGGGAGTCCGGATAGCGTGCGAGACAGGATACACCTTGCCCCCGGCATCGAGCTGGACAAAGATGGTATGAGCCGTCGCCGTGGAGGCAGCGGCAAGAAGGGACAAGAACTTCATCTTGGGGCAGAGAAACACCTGGTGATGGTCAAGACTGAGCTGAGGAGATCAACATGGCAACGGCGTCAAGACAAAGAGTCTCTTTATAGCTTGTTTGCAGTCAAGCTCATCTTGGGTGTCAATGACACCTCTTGTATACAACTTGTCCAATCGCTGTGCTCCCGCCCATGTGCCGGGGTGTTTTGATAAATCTATTTACATGGCCAAGCCCTGGTTCCGCGTCGTTTTGCGTGGGCAGAGTTCCCGCGAAGTCATGTTGCGGCGCATCGAGGGCGGAAGGGGGAGGTCCGGATTGGGGGTGTTCAATTTATTTAGATGGGTTTTGCTCCCCAACCATGCCGAGCGGCTCGACAGCCCGAAGCAGCGCCGGTTCGTGGTTTGCGAAGATGCCTAAGAAGCAGGAGGGTTCGCCGGGTCTGTTGAAGAGTGGTGTTTTGGTCTATCTTTGGATGGTATGGCTCGCCTAAGAATCAAAGACACGTCATTCACCACGACAGGTGCTTGTCAAGCTTGAAGAAGAAGATGTGAGATGCATTGATACTTGCGCGCAGGCATCAGACTCAGATGCGGCCACCACTGTTACTCGCACGTGGACAGCAGCAGAATAGATTCTTCGATGACTTGGAGCAATGGCGAGGCGTGGTCCACGATCATTGCGCCAGCAATAGCTGGTGACAAGAGATCGAGCGCATTGTTGAAGTTTCGATCCAGATCGAGAAAGCTCAAAGTTAACATTCTCAAAAACATTTGTGAAGTACCGGAATAAGATTTGCGGTCTTGTGATGGAGGAGGAAAAGGCAACAGTGATGGCTTGACCCGACTCTGGGTATGGTCTCTCTGATGCTGCTGTGAGACGCTACCAGGTGTCCAAAGGTGCCGGGTCCGGGAATGCACCTCAATGTTGCAGTTTCCTGGGGTAGAGAGGTGGATTTTGCGGGGAGACGTGTGCCGGCATCCCCAAAGTGCCGGTCTTGGAGTTTGGGAGAAGGACGAGCGAGCGAAGGATTGCAACCTGTTTGTTATTTCTGGCAGCCCGGTTTCGATGTGGTCGGGCTGGTGCTATTGCCCAGGATTGATGTTTGCTACGTAGATGTTGGTTGTCGGACGTCCCCGTTCCTTCTCAATGCTCAAGAAACTGGTTGGGAAAGGGCATCCAACACCAGTTGAACCACATTTGCCCCTTCCTCATCAGGAGCAATCTCGTTACCGATTCATCATATTCCCCAAGATTTGCCCAACGGTTCGTGTCTTCTTCGTATCCCTATTTTCTGACCTCGGCATCCACTCACCATCCATTCGCTAGCAGAGAAAGGAGATTTGGATCAAGGCCCCCCCCCCCCCCCCTCCCCCTCGACCCCTGTTCTCCAACCCAACGTCCTCCAACCACCTCCATCACATACCCAATCCGTCACATGACCCAATGGCAGACCACCCCCAAGAATGCAAAGAATGCGTCTATCGAGCCCTAAGAAGTTGGAGAAAAGGGAAAAGCTAGCGACCGAGGTCGAGACCACGGCCGGCACTCCAATCACCAAGATGGCTTCCGTCAAAGGTCAACCATGCGTCTTCTGGAGCCGTCCGAGTCCCCGGATTATTGCACGACGTAACGCACGTGTGGTCCATCCTGTCTCTCGGTAGCGCTACCCCGGATTTGCCCAGATCTGGGCAGATCCCCCTTCCGATACTTCACGAGTCATGATGCTGGGAACACGACGAACTCTGGAGTCTGGAGACTTCGATGAGTCCACTAACAACCTCATGATATCCACAGTGGACCTCGAGCTTTCAGCTTCTCTAATTCCTGCCTGTTTCCGCCCGTTTCTTTCGAGATTCCAAACCACCCAAAAAAAAAAAAAAACACTCTTCACGGGAAGTCGTCAACCCACGAAAACAAGCAGTCAGCCTCAATACTTGGCTCTGCCCTATTACCTCGGCTTCAGTACCATCGTGCCGAGTTCTAGCGACGGTTTCAACCAAGTCGGTGCTGCCAAGGGGAATCAAGAGCCATGGTCGACGCCACAGAGCGTCATGAACAAGCTGTTTGGCGTCGACACCCATCGTATGAGCCCCTCAACGACCTCACCATTCCCCCAGGCCTGCCCCCAAAGACCTGGCCAAGACAAGTCCAAGACTTTCCCCCGCACTCGTTCGAACCAATCGCAAGCAACGCCTGAACTCGGTCACGTCTCGGTTTGGAATCGTCGACATTTTAGCTTCCGCGCCTAACGCAGCCTCAAGACGTGCTAAAATGCGGAGAAAATTGGAGCCAACCTGCCACTGTGCCACTGTGGATTCTCGAGTCTGGGGAAGAGGAGACAAGCAGTGGACCTGTTTTCTCCGCAGTTCTCAACGAACACTGGGAAAAGGGGGGCGGCACTGGCGTGCGGCAAGGTGACCGCGAGATGATTTCCGGTACAAACTTCACTTCAGTAGCCTGCTGCCGTCAGTCCAGCCTGCAGCACTACCGTACAACAAAGGACCAATAACGTTAGTCTGGTCTCGCCTCCACGTGCTTGGATGTGCACGCTCAACGGTGATGCCATCCTAATCCGGAAGTGAATTCCATCTGCTGAGATTCACCGAAGATCTGAGAGGCCACCAGATTCCCCCGCCAACTTTTGCTCACCCCTTCCCAGAGTCTTGGTAAGAGGGTCCGTTCGTGGGAAACGGGGCCGGAAAACCTGGGGTTGGCTCCATCTGTCAAGGCGGGAAGGCGGGCTCGCCCCTCTGAATGTTGGGAAATGGAGCCCTTTGCTTACACGAAAGAGGCGGTCATCGCCGGTTCGATCTGGCCTGTACGAGAAAAAAAGATACTGCGACAAGGAGGACCGGTGTGGGCTTTCCGACTGTTTGAGCGTTTGGAACTATCGGCTTGAGTTGGCAGGATGCGTGGAGCTTACTGGCATCATGGATCTAGAGTGGTGGTGTATAAGGCAGGCTTGCTGTCCGACGTTGCGGCGCTGCGATAGGTCCGGCTCCTCTTGGCAACCACCGGCCTCGGTTTCTTTCGAGCAGAGAGCAAGGATGCGGTGTGAGTGACATGCAGCCGACGGTTGGATTGGACAGGGGACCTGGAACTTGGCCTCGACTCCAAGACCCTACCTACCTAGTGTGCTAGTGTAGCGTGCAGTCCAGCTCGATGGAGACGGTAGCTAGCTGACAGGATGCGGGGGAAATGGAGTAGCTATGGGGAGCTGTGACGGGGATGAGCAGAGTGCGAGTTGCTAAAGTCGATCAAGAATGCGACGGGGGCGAGGAATGGGTTGGGGTACATTAGACACGACTTTCCCATGCTGTCGTCCTTCCTTCTTCGTCCTCACCTCCTCACCCTTCAAACCTCGACCGCCCATCCCCCCCCCCGTTTCAGCCAAACAGCTCTTCCAGTCGGAGACCAGAAGGGCACCGCAACCCCCCCCCCTACGACCAGGGAAGAATGAACTCCTCTTCGGAGAAGGTCGCCGCCGGCGAAGTCAACAACATTGAGAATGCTGACTCCAAGGCTGGCTCCAAGGCTGGCTCGGATGTCCACCGCTCGCCTGCCGACTTTGGCTTCACGCCAGAGCAGGAGAAGGCCATTCTCAGACGGGTCGATCGCCGTCTCGTCTTGACTGTCGGTGCCATGTACTGCATCTCGCTCATGGACCGTACCAACTTGGGTGCCGCCAACATCGCCGGCATGGGTGTTGATCTCGTCTTGATTGGAAACCGCTACGTGAGTTGCCATTTGTCTCTTGGGTTTTGGACTGCATGGCTAACATGATCGACAAACAGTCTCTCATCTCCCTCTTGTTCTTCGTCACCTACATCATCTTCCAGCCCCCATCCACCATTCTTGTCCGCAAGATTGGTCCCAGATTGCATTTGGCTGCCATCACTGTCTTGTGGGGTGCCGTCATGATTGGTATGGGTTTCGTCGTGAACTGGGAGCAGATGGCCGGCATGAGACTTCTTCTCGGTGTGTTGGAGGCTGGCTTCTTCCCCAGCGCTGTCTACCTTTTGAGCACCTGGTACACTAGATGTAAGTCAATCCTGTGTTATCATCATGGTGAGAACTTTGCGCTGACATGAAGAACAGATGAGGTCGGAAAGAGAAACGCCGTCTTCTATCTCATTGGTTCTTGCGCCAGTGCCTTTGCTGGTATCCTGGCTTACGGAGTGAGTTTCCCCGGATATATATGTGTCTTGGCATCAGCGAACCAGTAACTGACCGATCACAAACAGATCATGCAAATGAAGGGCCTTGCTGACATGAACGGTTGGAGATGGATCTTCGTCATTGAAGGTATCCTCACCTGCGTGCTCGGTCTTGTCGGCTACTGGCTCCTCGTCGACTTCCCCGACTCCAAGAGAGAGTCCTGGTCTTTCCTTGGCCCCACCGAGAAGGAGTGGATTTGCGCTCGTGTCAACGCCGACCGTGGTGATGTCAAGGTCCAGGAATTCTCCATCAAGAAGTACCTCGGTGCCGGTCTCGACTGGAAGATTTGGGCCTACGCCATGATCTTCTTCAACACCACCACCGTCACCTACGCCCTCGCCTACTTCTTGCCCATCATTCTCAACCTCGAGCTCGGATTCTCGGTCGGCGAGGCTCAGTGCCTGGTTGCTCCTCCCTATGCCTTTGCCGCCATCATCATCTACCTCTCTGGCTGGATCGGCGACAAGTACCACGTCCGCGGCCCCGTCATTGTCGGAAACATCATCCTCTGCATGATTGGTCTCCCCATCATGGGCTTCGCCAAGAGCTCGGCCGTCCGCTACTTTGGCGTCTTTTTCGTCACCGCCGGCGCCAACGCCAACGTCTCGACCGCCCTGTCCTACCAGGCCAACAACATCCGCGGCCAGTGGAAGCGCGCCTTTTGCTCGGCCACCTTTGTCATGTTTGGCGGCATCGGCGGCATCGCCGGCTCGCTCGTCTTCAGAGGCGAGGACGCGCCCCACTACCGCCCCGGTCTCTATGCCTGCATTGCCACCAGCGGTCTTACTCTGATCCTGGTTGGCATTCTCAGCTTGAGCTTCTACCGGTCCAACAGCGCGGCCGACAGGGGCGAGAAGGAGCTTGAGGCTGATGGCGATGAGGATTATGAGCCTGGGTTCCGTTACACTTACTAAGTGTGTGTGTGTGGAATTTTGTGATTAATGATACCTGATTGATTGGAATAGGGATGATAACTATTGGGATGGCAATTGTTTGGAATTTTTTTTAGCACTACCTATGTGAGGAGGATATACCTGATCGAGATGATGATATGCAAATATGGAACATTTCATGTACCTAGCTTACGATGATACCGGGGCGGCGGCGCTGTTGATGCGAATGAGAAAGAGGTATCTGATGAATTTGCTGCTATCGAATATCTTTGTGCCTTGTGAACTTGTGAGAAGAGGGCTTAAACGATGCTTATTATGTGAGGTGAGAACACTCTTGAAACTAAATCACACACTCTATTGGAAAGAGGCATCCGAGGGAGACATTGTGGACGAGGGTGTTTTTCCATGTGGCTGGGTTGGTTAGTAGAAGATGAGATGGCCAAAAATCTCAATCATTCGCCATCCAAATAGACAACAAACATGATAAAAGATAGACATGCCCAGCCAACCTAACATGAGCGGTATGAAACATCCACCTCCCTTTCGCAGCAAACAAAGCATACAACCTCACAAGTTAGCCACATTGCAAAGCAACGAAGAAACATCCATTCATGGTATCTAAAACACATCCAAAAAACTCCCCTGACCCAACCTTACCCACACGTTCCATACCCTTAGATAACCTCGCAAAAAATCAAAAGAAACTCTTCTTCAACCCCCCCAGTAACAACCCCCTCTTCTGCTCCTTGACCGTATTGTTGACATCCTCCGCCCACCCGCTGCTCGCCTCCTGCAGCTTCATCATCGCATCGTCCACAAAGCTGAGCTTCTCCGTCCTCTCATTCACCTGCCTGACCAAATAATCTCCCCAGCCCTCTTGTTGTTGCTGGCTACGGCTCCCGCCGTACCCGCCACCACCAGCAGCAGCACGCTCCACCTCCTCAGCCCTCACCACCCTCTTCGAAGGCGGCCTCCCCTCCCCCCCGATCAACAAATCCAAATCCGTCGGACTGACATATTGCGTCCCCGAGATCCACTGAAGATTCGAAATCGTCGGTCTGGGGGGTAGTGTCCTCTCGGGCGAAATCAAACTATCCGTCGACACAGGGAGCCCTTTACCGCTCCCATAAACGGGCATGACTGCAATCTCAGACGGTCCGTTCCACGCTATCAGCTCTCCCGTTTTTGATATCACGCACGACAGCGTCCGGGAGGGGTCCAGCATGGACAAACTTGCGCGGCCGACTTCTTTGAGCGACGGGATGGAATACGCCCTTGTGGTGCGGTCACCGAACAGACAGACAACCGACGGTGGGAGATTAGGCGGGTGGATGACTCTGGCAGAGTCGCAAAGCTGGTCGTCAAAAGATTTGGACGCGCCCTTGTTGGTGGAGGGTTTGAAAATCCGGATTTCGGATTGGGTTACGGCGACTAAAACGCCGGGGGTTTGGACGTTTGACCTCAAACCAGCGACCGACTGCCCCGTTGCTGTGGCCGGGGAGCCAGTTTCCGAGTTGATCGGGCTGAGGGAAATGACCCTGTCGGCTGAGGTCTTGATGAAGCCGGCGGGTTTTGCCGTGTAAGATTGCCCTGACGGCAAGAGGCGGAACGTCGCAATGTGGCCTAGGTTTGTGCCGACGAAGCAGCAGATGGAGGAGTAGCTGTCTCCTTCGAGTGTCATGACGCCAAAGGAAATAGCCGTGGGGAATTCCAACTTGTTGTGGGAGGAGGAGGATTTCTTGAGGGAGAAGGACTTCTTTTCTTGGGTGATGAACTCGGTCACTGGGGAGGTGTAGATGACGGATGGGCCGCGGAGGTCGATTATGCTGAAGTGTCCTCCTTCTGATCCGACTGCGATGAACCCTACGTCTGAGACGCAAAGCGCCGAGATGGGACCTTGTGCCATCTCGTAGAGCACAAAGGGTTGAAGACCCTCTTTGAGTGAAGGCTCAGCCCTCGTACTGATATCCGTCAGTCCTCCAGGCTTTGGATCCAGCGCCGTCGTCGCATCCCTCCCATGAAACTTATTAACCCCCCACTTGTAAACCACCACCTCCCCCGTCTTCGTCCCCGCGGCAAACTCCCCCGTCCCCTCGGCCATATGCACCTCACTGACACTCACATCCTCAAACCTCCCCACCGCCCTCGCCACATCAACCTGCAACTGCCCCGGGTTCTCAACCTCGTCCAACCTCCCCACCGCCCTCGCCACATCAACCTGCAACTGCCCCGGGTTCTCAACCTCGTCCGCAAACCCGACATCCCAAATCCTCACCGTGCTATCCGCGTGCGCCACCAAAATCACATTCCTCACATCCACCATCTTCCTCCTCGTATTGCCCCCCTTCCCCCCCTTCAGTATCGCCTCCCCCTGGCTCCTCTTTTCCACCATCCCCAACCACCTCTCCCTCCCCACACTCGCCACCCCAATCCTCTGCACAAACGGGTGCACAAACGACAAGCTCGGATGCAGCATGTTCGTCGGACTGATCGCCCACCCGGACGGGAAACTCATAGTAATCAACTCCCCAGAGCTCAACATGGCCATAACCGCAAGCGGATCCTGCGCCCCATCAAAATACGGACTCTGTCTAGGGATCAACACATAATCCACCACCTCTGCGCCCGGCGGCATCTCCATCACCACCCTCTCCCCCCTCCCCTTGACGTACCCCCCCAAAACCTCCCACGAACTCGTTGCATAAACCGGCGTAGGCCCCAAATCAAGAAAACTTATCCCCCTCTTCCCGCTCTGCTGCTCCCCCCTATACCACCCCCCCTGCACCACCAACCCAGTATCATCCGGATTGTTCCCCTTACAAGCCCACTTCACCCTCCCCAACGGCACCCTATCCCTCCTATCCCCCTCCAGATCATCCAACGACCCATAAACATCCCTCACCCCAACCACCCTCCCCTCCTTCACATCCCAAAAAACCATCACCCCATTCTCATACCCCCCCATGAGAAAAGTCCCCGACGGGTGCCAAACCACATTCGTCAACTTCACGGGCCCCCTCATCATCATCGGGGCCCCAGCCGGCGGCGGATTCATACCACCTCTGCGCGGCCCCCATCTTAAAACTATAGGCCCCCACCACCCCCCCGGCATACCCCACAGCCAGCTTCCCGATATCCCTCGGATGCATCGCCATAGCCGCCACCCCCGCCCGATCCCCAATCATCTCCCTCGGGTAAACCTCCTTCGCCAAATTCCCCAACCGGAACGGCACCGGCCTCGCTCGGTCAAGGTCATAAACTTGCACATCCCCCGAAGAAGACGCCGACCCAACAAAAGCCCAGTCAAGAGCAGGATCAGTGACCAAACTAGAAACTTTAACGTAACTGTACTTTGACGTCTGGGTGCAAGTCTCCAAATCCCACAAGGCAACCTCGTTGTTCGAATCAAGTGACACCAACGAATGATTCACAAAGGCGAGCTGTCGATAGGAAACCCCCCCGGAGGGATTGGGAGGTTGGAGGATCCGATGGACGCGGTCACGACCAAAGACGTAGATTTTCCCCCTGGGAGAAAAGGTCGATGGGGATGTGCCGACCGCGAGGAGGGATCGGGTCGGGTCGTAGGCTAAACAACTGATTATCCCCCAAACATATCCCGTTAGATTTGTCTTCTGGCCGACGAGATGAAGGGATGGGAAACAAAAAAAAAAAAAAAAAAGAAGGGGAGGAGCGTACCTAACCTGGGAGTTGATCCCATATCTGGCCAGCTCGTCAGGGTTAAAACTCCCTGGTAGCAGCCCGGCAGACAGGTCGGTCGCAACACCGCTCTGTTTGGCTCGTAAAAAGGACGCCATATTTACTGTCGCGCCTCTTCTTGTTTGATGTCAAGGGTTGATGGAAAAGGAGAGGAAGTGGGAAAAATCCCCAAAGGTTGGAGAACAACTTTCTCGCCGGAAACAGCGGCACATCCCCCAAGACTCCAGGTCTCAGCATGTGCTCGGCACGGCGGGGCACACACACCTGTGACGAGCGGCCGCTGACGTTTTTGGTGGGGTTACACTTTGCTGCGAGATCCTTGGCAAGATAGATGCATGACATAAGCTGGACCCTAGCTTGAACTCCAACCCGTTGCTGTGGTGAGAGTGGTGGAAAAAGGGGTTATATAAATACTCACCTACCTCTCCTCATCACCACTGAATCTATCTGTACCACATCACACATATCACCAAGTCGTCACCACATCGAAAATCACACTGAAGCAGACACGAGGATTTTCAAAAAGCAACGATGGATTTGCAGGATGCTATAAGCTTCCTAACACCTGTCTGTCCTCCTTTACTCTCCGAACTCAAATCCTCAGCCAAGGTCTTCCGCGGTCAGAGGCTCTCCCATCGACTTTCCTTGCATTCTCGCCCGAAATGTCACTCCCCCTTGATAGTCGTCGTGGAACCATCTCCCCTACTGCCAGGCTCAATATACATGATATAATTACAAAATGACATGGTGTGATGACATGGTGGTCGTCGTTTAGACGAACCACATACCCGCCTCGAACGCCTCCTTGGCCCCGGGCTTGGCCTCCCGTCCAAGGGGCATGAGCTTGGGGCAGATCTTGTCGCGCTCGTCGCTCTGGGAGGTCTGGCTGTCCTTCTGCCTGGCCTTCCTGGCCTTCTGCAACTTGGCATAGTTGCCCAGAGCCGCGCGGAGGATACCATGCTTGACGTCCTCGGGGACACGGTCGGTGAAGAGGCCCATCTCGTGGGGACGCGCGCGGTTGCTCACCAAGTGGGCATAGTACACGGCAGGGTGCAGAGACACCGGAGTGGTGGACCGCACATACTGGTAGCACTGGTGATAGATCATCTCCTGAAGCTTGGCAGGAGGCAGCTTGACCTCGTCGTGCAGAACCGTGTAGTGAACAGGGCGTGCCGTGCCCTTGATGGCCACATGGGAGCAGAGATAGAAATCGTACTGGAAGGGGTGGGTGACCTCACGCTCAACCAGGGTGCCCGGGAGGGCGTTGCCGTTCTTGTCCGCCGCGTTGCTGTCAGGGAAGAAGCGGATGTGGTGACGCTTGGTGGCAATGATGATGGTGAAGAGCGGGGCGGCAGCCTTCTCACTAGCCATGGCCGCCTCGAACGCCTTCTTCATGGCCGGGAACTCGTGCTGCATGACGTGGGCGTACTGGCCCTCAGAGACACCGTCGCGCATGTAGAATACGCGCTTGGGAAACGTACCGTTCCGCTGGCGCCACTGTTTAATCATGGGCTGTAGCATCTGCATCATGTTGTAAGGCTGGATAATCTCAACCCGCCAGCCATTGGTCTGGGCACCGGCGGCGTACTTGGTGGCCGCCTTGTCCATGGAGACAGTCATGGCAGCAACCGAAGGCGACAGATGACCAGCAGCGCCGTGAGAAACATCAGCACCAATAAACATGGTAGGCGTGTTGTCAAAGTGCGGCGCCACAGAGTTGGGCTTGAGCGGCTGCCCAGCCTGAGTCTTGACGGCCACGGCAGTGCATCCACCTAGCTTGGCATTGACCTTCAAGCAGACGTTGGAGCAGTACTGCGCCTGGCCCTTCCGGACCTGCTGAAGGTTCAACATCTGCGTCGGCATGGCATAGCGGCAGTCTGAGCTGCGCTTCAAGCGCTCGTAGTACCAAGCCGACTTGTCCTTGAGGATGAAGAAGATGATCTGAGGGTTGGCATTGAATTTCTTGCCGACCGTATGCCAGGCATTCTGGACGACCTCGGTGTACTGACTGCCCTGGGCCCGGAAGATGATGGGGTCATTTTGGATCCGCCCACCGTGGCCCTTGTAGATATTGGACCAGTTCTTGTAGAAGGCGGCGACAGTGGGCTGGTCACAGCAGTCCTGGGTGACGCAGATGCCCCACGACTTGAGTGGCTGTGGGTTGGGCTCAATGAACTTGAGCCCACGAAGATCCCAGCGACCACTCACTCCGGGATTGACGATCTTGTTGCCGAATGAGATGCCGGGGTTGGGAATGACACGGGCTTCGACCCTGGGCATGGTGCTGTCCATCTGGATGCCGAATTGCTTGAGGAACCTGTCATTGCCCCACTGGAGCTGGGCAACCATCTTCTCGATCTGCATCTTACGCTCCTTGGGAGCCTGGACAGCAAACCGCAACATCTTGGTGGTCATGTCTCCATCAAGCTTGAATGGGTAGGGGCAAAAGCGCTCCACCTCGCAGAGCTCCATGGGAAAGTACCCGGCCTTGTTGGTCTCAATCAGAGGCAGCTGCCAGAGACGAAGACGCTTCTTGTAATGAAGCTCGTAGAAGTCGTAAATGGACATCTCGGAGGTGGTGATCTCCTGCGTGGCCTCATTGAATTCCTTGCGTTGAAAAGTGACCTTCTTGGCCGACGCACCCTCCTGACCATACTTTGGCTCAAACACGACGCCCTTGACCCTGTAGATGGGGGAGGGGATCAGGTTCCCATTCTTGTCCTTCTTGCCGCGATGAGTGACCCTGAAGCGAAGATTCGTCAAGCGGCGGAGAGCCTTGAGCCCGGCAGACATGCCCCATTTGCCGTTCTTGTCCTGGACAGGCTTGACAAACTGGAAGAACTCATCAGGCTTGTGGGGGCCGACATTGGGGCACAAGTTGATGACCAAGTGGCGGGCCAGCTGAGCCATGTTCTGACCAATGAAGTAGGTGTTGTTGGCGACGTCGACATTGACGCCGAGGCCCTGACCGCCGGTGATGTTGGACGAGTTCAGGCGAATGGCAGAGTAAATGCCCTTGATGGCCTCGGTGAGAGCGTTGAGAGGCATGCTCTCAGAGCTCTGGGGGTGGATAAGCGTACGCTTGTTGGCGATGAAACCGAAAACCCTAGTGGGACCAGCACGGAAAACCTGGTCCAGAAAAGCTAGGTAGATAACATGTTTAGCTTTTCCAACAGCACAGCATAAACTTCTGGACATGTGACAACTCACTGATAGTCTCCAGAACCACATTGTCCCAGCCCATCTTGCCAGCCAGATAGGCATTGATCGCCTCCAGGTTCAACTGCTTGGTCTTGGTGATGGTGATGAAAAGCGGCTGGGGCTTGCCACGCGAGCCATCCTCATTCTCGCGGAGGTCTATCTGCTTCTTGACAGCCTGATTGCCAATGTCGTTGCGGGACCAGAGGATCTTGCCACCATCATACAGCCAGTCGCCCGACTTGCCTTCGGGGGTCTTGAACTGCTTCATGTGGGCTTGCAAGGTCGGGTTCTCCCAGCACTTGCGGAAGACCACATTGGCATCGGGATTGGGGGAAACTTCAAGCTGCAGATGTGTGTTAATGATGAGCACAAGACGATGTTCCCTGTCAAGAGTTGCTTACATTGTACTGGAAGATGGTGGGCAGCTTGGCAACCTTGATGCGGTACTGGTTGATAGCGACATTGACCTTGCGGGCCTTGGCATCGTCGTTCCAACCAGGGCGGCTGGCAAAGGGGTGGAATTTGTCAAGATCCTCGACGTAAGCCTCGGGGGTGAGATCAATGCGCTTCTCAACAGCCTTGGTGTTCAAGTCCTTGAAGTCGGTATGCTTGGGGTAGGAAGGCAAGTCCTTGGGGTTGAACTCCTGAGTGTCATCCATGGCGACGATGGGCTGTAAAAGATGGGACAAAAGAGTGTCGTAGCTGTTGGCTTCTTGTCGAAGAAGCAGAGAGCGAGTTGCTTAGAAGGACTGTTGCGTTGCTATGTCAATCGCTGTCTGTGGATCAAAGCGGCCAGGAAGAAGAGAGAAGAGAGAATGAGAGGGCCGGGGGGCAGCGGGAGAGGTTATGTAGGAGATGGCAGAGGATGGAAGGAGAGAGGGACAATCAATCACAGATGACTGGACAGAGACTGTTTGGGGGTTTGGAGGTAAGGGGAGAGTGAGTTTCGTGAGGTGTGTGTAGTAGATGCAAACAGATCGAGACAAACAGGCAGCAAGGCTACCCCAGTGAAAAGGCGCAATAAGCGCCCATGAGTGCCGAGAACTAGGGGGGAAGGAACGGGCTGGGTAGGCGCATGCACGACCCCCACTTGCTGGGTGTGCCTGATGCAGCGACCCGGTGTGAATCGGTGCTGATCAGTGCTGATTGTTCCGACAGGGAGCGTGCGACCGAGTGATGATGTGGTGGCGATGTGTGATGTTGGGGAATCATGCCAGATGGCGATGGCTTCAAGAACGTACCTTTTGGTGGATGCCGAAGCAAGTCGCGGTTTTGCTACCACGGAAGGGTAGACTGAAGAGGGTTTGATAGAGGGATGTCAAAGTTTGATACCGCTCTGGGTTGAAGGAGAGTAGAGAGTGAAGGTAGCCGATGGCTGAGATTGAAGATGAGAGTGAGTTGTGAGAGGAAAGGTTGTGGGAGTTGTGGGAGTTGTGGGAGAGGAAGACCTTACTTTATACCCAGGAATTGAGGGCCCAGAATTCCTAATCAGCCCCCCACTGAGCAACGATCAGCTGGAGCAAGTGAATATCGGAGGAAGAAGCGGGTAATGGTTGTTGTAAGCAGCGATAACAGCCTTGGAAGACAAAGGAATTGCTCTTCTGTTTGATAGGCAAGTGGGGGGACGCGTATGACGCCAGCGAGGTTGGTGATAGGGCTTCCATTGTTGGTTGGCGATAGGACCCTCTGCTCCGATAAGCCTACATGGGAAAGACGGAAGGAGCGTTGAGGGAGCACATCAGACTATTCATCATCACGGCCACCGTCGGCACAAGAGCTGGAAGAGCGAGCTATCTTGAGGCGGAGAAACCACATTACCATCACCCATCTCTGAGCATCACGTATCTTCCGTGGTCTCCCTTGGAGCGTCATTCCGGACCACAGGAGAAGAAAATACTCTGCTCCCTTCCCATCACACCACAACAGAGGAAACTAAACAATCTACCTGCTCCCTCACCTGGGAAAAGAAACTTCTTCTCTTGACCCGCACAGTATCATGAATTGCGGCTGGAATCACCTCCTCTCCGTTCACTTAGGGCTACCCGATCACTTGACATTTCTCAACTCTTCTGTGGAACACTAGGGCAAGGAACTCGAGCCAAGTTCTTTGCTTCCTCTCTTAAGCATAGGCAGGTACCACACACACTGAGTGTATAAAGAAATTAGGTATCATAAAGGCTATATTTGCCTGGCCTGTTGAAGACACTATGAGCATTTCCAGACGTTTAGTAGACCACAGTGCAGTACACCAATGTATCTATCCCAATCCCAATCCAAAGCCCGTATTCTTCCCTGAAAAGACACCACGCGATATTGGTGATGAAAGCATTCCCAAAAACACTCAACAAAACAGACAGTGTTGAGCAATCCCAGCCCCCAATCCCATCCCACCCCTCCTCTCCAACATCTTACCATCCGTCTCCTCCCCAAAACAGGACCAGTCGTCAAAATAAGCTTATCCCACCACCCCTGTACAACCCGACATGAGACAAAAGCATCTTGGTTCTACCAGTCTTGACACCAACCCCTGCCAAGACCAGCCCCTTTTTTTGGTCTCGGCTGACTAACATTTCGGCCGGACAACGACAACCCTCAAGTAAACAAAAGGGATCTTTGTCAGTGACACTTCCACTGCCTGCCTTAAATGGATAGCCTAGCCTAGATGACATTTTTGTGTTTTTGGTCATGGAGAAGGGGTTGACTGTATTATGAGTGTCACGTGTCTGGTCATGTCACATTTCCACTACTGATATTCAGTTAACAGGACATAGTATATCGCACATGTCACACATGGACAGATGCTCACTGAAAGTGGGAGGTCGCACTCCCGGTCACAAATATATGACAGTTGATCACCACTGCAGGACATCCACCATCTGGCGCTGACAAATTCTCTCACGAGAAGAATTCACAAGCCACTGAAAATGAATCCATCATCACTATCCAAAAGACCTTGAAACCTCGAACAAAACATCTACAATTCACCCGCTCCGTCCAACCTACTACACTATAGTCAAACCTATATATAACGATTCGTTAGTGTGAGGAGTCTTATCGTTATATAAGAAATATCGCTATTTGAAATACCCCCTTTTTACACCGTTTTTTTAACAATACAATAAAAGCTAAAGTAATTAAAAGGTACTCCAAATATTATTTAACTATAAAACTATCTACAAAGTATAAAGTAATTGATTTTTAAATTTTAGAAACTATATTTCTATAATCTTTAGATTATTTTCCCTTTAATTTAACTAAGTTACTAAAATTTTTAAATTATATATTTTTAGTTATCAATTATACCACAAAATTAAATTTACTACTTTATATCACGGGCGGTTAGTTCACTAAGGCAAAGGCTACTGTAACACCTTACTCGATTAACGGAATCTAAGCTAAGGAAAAAAGAAAGGAAGGGAGGCTTTGCCTGGCCAGCCTTGCAGGGATTTTAAGGGTGCAAGCTGGTAGGGCAAGTAAATAATAAGAGATAAGGTCTTGGCCTATAGGGCCACACCAGAAGTGGGGCACCACGCAAGGTGTGCGTCAGTGCCATAATGTCACAACCCTGGTATAGGACGGTTATAGGGCCACGGAAATAAAGGGCTAATCGGGAGAATGTATAGGGGAGCTAATTACAGTAAAGGCAGAGTGATCAGTGTAATCAGGGCACTAAGCAGACTAAGCAGAAGTAATTAGTGGCTTTAGGAGACTAATTACGGCTTAGTATAAAGACTATATATACGGAGGAACTGGCTAATATAGATAGACAGTTCCGTAGTATGCAATTCAAGCTTATATTTATGGCATTTTATATTTACATCGAGACATCTTATTGTATACTGTTTAGCTGCACCGAACTAAGATTATTTAGAAGTTACCTTCAACCAGTATCCCTTTCAGAGGTTCTAGATAGGGGTTCGTTACACATAACACTCTAAAGATTTTAGAAATTAAGAGTTGTAATAGTACTTACTATTTATATTAAAAAGTTAAGTTTTATATATAGGCTTAAGGGCCTTATAATAGTAATATACTTTAGTGTTTATAATATAGCGAAAACTTACGACATAATACCTATAGCTTACTTCTAAGTATATATAAGCTCCAGCGCTTTATAGCGCTCTATATTATAGTTAAGCTAACGGGTAAGTTAAATAGTGTGTGGGGCACGGGAGGTGCTAGCTAATCGCTACGAGAACTAATAGGAAATAGAGTGCCTAGAAGCGTAGTAAGCTACGTAATCTTAAGGTATAACGAATCCCTATTTAAAGCCTCTAAAAAAGATATTAATTAAAAGCACTTCTAAATAATCTTAATTTAGTATAGCTAAATAATATATAATATTAAAATAGGTACTATTAAGGCCTATAAAATATAGGCTCGAATAGCTATCGGCGTAGTATATTAAGAGCGAAAAAGACTTTAACTATAGTATTTAATAATTGCCGAGGTATTAAAGGAAGGTAAATATATAACGAACCCCTATATAGAACCTCTGAAAGGGATACTAGTTAAAAGTAACTTTTAACAATTAATTCGGTATAGCTAAACAGTGCACAACAAGATATCTTAATATAAATACTAGCTACCGTAAATATAAGCTTAAATTACATACTACGGAACTATTTATCTACACTAGCCAGTTCCTCCGTATATATAGACCTTAGGGCCGTAAGGTACTCGCCCTACTATAGGCCCGATCACTCCTAACACATTGTATCTACATTATACTCGTCGTGCTATACCTCTAATTATCCCTAGCATCTTACATCCTGCAGACTGCTCGTGAGCCTTAGCGCCATAGCACTTTTGCCTAGCCCTAATCGGCTTATTCCCTAACTTCCTAAATGATTAGCTAGGGGCGACCTGCGCCCTATATATGGCGCGACCTGCCGTTGGGTTAACTATAACAGAATATAATAAACCTCTATTTAAAACCTCTAAAAAAGATACCGGTTAAAGGCACTTTTAAATAATCTTAGTTCGGTACAGCTAAATAGTGTATAATAAATAACTTGTCTCGATTATAATAATTTAAATACTAACGATTATAATTTAATTTATATACTATAAAACTATTTAGTTATATTAGCTAGTTCCTCCATATATATAAACCTTAGAACCGTGCACTATTAACTTATAGACGGTCCTCGGTCTACTCCTAATTAACTAATACTGGACCGTGGACCGTAAGCTTCACCGCGGTCCCCGGTCCTTATTTTATTAATCCGTTTACCTACTTAGACCGTAAGTCCCGCTCGATCGCGAGGTCCAGTCCTGATTAGTCCCTCGTAGCCCCACTATTTTCCAGAACCGTAGTAGTAAATTATAGGGACGGCGCACTATAATATATAAAGGATAATTACTGTAATATAGGCTTATAAAGCACTAATAAGTATAGTAAACTAATATATTAATTTACTTTTTTAAACTAAAAAATATTATAGTAAATAGGGTGTGAAGTAAAGGTTTTATAGGCCGTTAGTCTTCCACTCGCTTTCCGAGGCTAACTTCGTTTCCGGGCTTAAACGCCCGCTAAATGCGCTAGCTAAAATAAAGTTATAAGCTACGTTATAAGCTACATTACGCTACCGTTTAACCGCTGTAGGGTACTAGCCTTAACGCTCGGCTTTCCGGAACTACGGATTGCTTTAGGGAGCTAAGTTCCGTTCCGTTAACCGTAGTATCACGGCTTAACACTTTAGTGGGGCGCGGGGCGCACTACGGGCCAATCATTAGTACAGGAGCGAGGACTAATTAAAGCAGGATTATTAGGATCGAGGATCGATCTAGAAGAGTTAATCCCAAAAGGGACAGTATCGATAGGATCGATAGTCGAGTTAATCGATCTAGGACAGTACTAGGCTTGGCACAGGGTCTATATATACGGAGGAACTAGCTAGTATAGATAGATAGTTCCGTAGTATGTAATTCACAGCTTATATTTACGGTATCTTATATTTACATTGAGATATCTTATTATGCGCTATTTAGCCGCACCGAACTAATTATTAAAAGTAGCCTTTAACTAGTATCCCTTTTAGAGGTTTTATATAAAGGTTCGTTACACGTAGTCCCTAAGTACTACTAATTTAAGCTATTATATTACTTTTAAAGCCCTATATTTTATAGGGCTCAAATACACTATAAAATCCATAAATAAAAGCTATATTTTAATATTTAATATATATTATTTAGCTATACCAAATTAGGATTGTTCAGAAGTGCCTTCGACTAATATCCTTTTTAGCGGTTTTGGATAGGGATTTATTATACAGGTAAGTACATTATAACCGTTTTCGCTATATTTATTAGTTTTTCTAGAAATAATACCGCGTAGTATTACAGCATTAACACACTGTAAAATAGGCTTTGTAGGGACTTATTTTAATAAAAACGATATTTTAATTTATTTTATAACTAAATTTTTACGTTATCTAAATAACTAATTTATATTACTTTAAAGTAAAATAATAGCTACAATAAAAAAAATAGCTTACTAATATAGGAAGTGCAGGGGATATAGGAAGTGCAGGGAATATAAGAAGTGCAGGGAATATAGGAAGTGCAGGGGATATAGGAAGTGCAGGGGATATAGAAAGTGCAGGGGTAGATTAGCTAAGCATGTAAATTAAGTAAAAATATAGCCTCACTACTAAGCTTACCCTACACCTACAAAGCTATCAAGCAGGCTGCTAGTGCGACTCACACTTCCAAATGTCATCTTTTTACACACTACTTTACATATCTATACCTACAGTTCTCACTTACCTTTACTTCCTTATAATAGTAAAGCGCTATTGTTTGTTATTAAAAACTATAGTAATAATAACAAAATATAACTAGCAAAAAAAAAGTATATTTCATAGTAGTTTATTAAAATTTATTAGATATATTTAGTTAAATTATATTACTTTAGATAAAAAAAAAGATCAAAAAAAGATAGGCTAAGTAAAAAGCAAATTAAAATTAGGGGGTTAGTTCTAAACTTAAGAGGTAGTTCTTACCCTCTTTATAGGCCTATAATATTACAATAATTTCAATGCCCAATTTATCACTCTGGCTCATATAAAATAGGTTAGTTTAGCAATTCCGATCGGTACGTAGGAAAATCGCTATGGCTCGAATCTTCATGGCTCGAATCGTTATATACAGGTCGGGCTGTATCTCTCCCAAAATCCCCCATTTAACTTTTGCTCCCAATCCCAACCACAAATGCACTACCTTTAGCCTTCCCCAAAAGAAAACTCCTATCCTATACAATATGCACCTCCTCAGAACGCCATGATGAAGCCTCAATCCCTCTACCTTCCCCAAGATATAATTATATTCCCCCAGCTACAAACCTCCCCTATCGTCTCAATACCCCCCACCATAACCTCCATATCCCGGTGGCGGAGGGAGGGGAGGCAACCCCCCAAACTGATACCCGCCGGCGCCTTGCCCAGGTACCGCAGAGGAGGCTCATACCCCGCTCCACTCCCGGCGCTCCCCGGCCTGAGACTACTCTGTCTGTAGCCTTGCCCCTGCCCCATCACCAACCTCTGTTGTCCATACGGACTTCCCGCCCTTGGGGCCGGCGAGTCCCTGTTCCCATATCCACCACCGTAGCTCCCAAAATCGGTGGAAACATTTCTGTGGTGTGGGTTCTGGCTTGGATTGGCGTGGGCTTTCCAGACGTGGTACTCTGGTACGTTCGTCGACTGGAGCAAATTGACGACCTTGTTTGGGTTCATACGGTGGTAATCGTAGGCCTCAGCCCGGGGGATTAAGCCGAGGAGGAAGGTGATGTCCCGAGCGATAGGGGCAGGGGTGCTGCTATAGCTCGCGCCTCCAGCACTTCCCTGCATACGACGCTGCTGGTCCAGTCTACGGCCAGCTGCTCCTTTTAGGGGGGAGGCGCCACGGACGAACTCGGTGTTGTAATCGTTTCTCTGAATCTTGCGAGGCGGGTTTGACTCGTCGTCGTCCAGGGGAAGAGGACGTTTGGGGGAGTTGGTAATTGTTGGTTGGAATTGAGGCGCCGGGGTGGGGCTGTTGCGGATGGAGATGGGTTGTTGTGGTTGATGTTGTTCAATCGAGGGCATCAAACCAGGTGGTTGTATTTTCGGCCGGAGCTGAGCCGCAGGAGACACGATAACTCTCGCCGTGATAGGGTCGAACTTTTCGGTTGAGAAACGCGCCGAGAAGTGAGAGAGCTTCGGGTCCTCCGGGAAAAGCTCCGCCATGCGTTTCTCCAGTTTGGAAATCTGGGCGAGTTCACCAAATTGGGACTCGTACTTGTGGAAGTAGACGTAAAGCTGTTTGGCCTTGTGTACGTTCTCCGGCTTGGAGGTTAGGCGAGAGACGACACGCTCGAAAAGGACGCGGGCATCTGTGAGATGGTTAGCCATGAGTGGGAAACTAAAGAGGGTGAGAACCGTACTGGTAAAGTCATTCAAAGAATGGAGATACTTGATGTGCTCCAACGCAAAATCCTCATCCTCCGGAAACAGCTTCGCACCACGGTCAAAAATCTTTCCACCAGCGGGCTCCTTGTAAATTGTCCACTCCATATGTGCAACAGCCGCATAAACATCGCTGGTGAGCCGACCGCGCTGTCTAGCGTCCTGGAAGACCTGCCTCATACCGCCCATCTCCGTGTTCGCCTTGCCCTTGCCCTGAATCCGCCTCATGGCCCGGATCAGAGCAATCCAGACAAACGAGATGGTCTTTGACAGCATCTTGGTCTGCATAGCAGAAACCTGCTGCACCGCCTGTATCTGCTTCTCCGCACTGGCATCCATCGCCGGCTTGGTCGACCCCTCACCCTCCTCCTCATCATCTTCATCATCATCAGACCCGCTAGACGAATTATCCCTCGCAGCCGCCTTCTTGGCCGCCTCCTGAATCTGAGCAATGTGAGCCGTCTCACGGTCTTTCACCTTGTTGATTATATCATACAGCGTGTCAAGCACCTTGTTGTAGGGAGCGCGCACAGCCTGACCAAGCGCAATCTTGGCCTTGTCGTTGTCCTCAGTCTGGTGAGTGGATTCAATGTAGTCACCGTACCGGAGTGCAAGGAGGACGCTCTCTGGGTTTGCTTCAATGCCACGAATCAGAAATTCAAGACCTGTGGACACGTCATTTTTTTGGTCGCTAGTTTTTGGCTTGTCATCAATAATGTTGTTCTCAAAGCACCACTCGGCCGCATCCAGCCACATCTCTGGCCAGAACCTCAGCGCCATCAGGGCCTGCCGGTAAACATAGAGAATGCGCTTCTGGTAGAGGCCAGGCAGCTTCTCGTCCTCCTTGAGGTAAAGAGGATCAGACTTCTCCCACGCGATCCACCTCTTCCAGATCTCAACTTGCTCCATGTACTCCTGGTACCCGTCAAAGTGAGCAGCGGCTGGGGGAAGAACGGGGAGGGTCGTCCGCTGCAGACCACGGGTGGTGTTCTCGAGGGCGATGTAGGCACTCTTGGCCGTCATGTAGGACGGCGACCGTTCGGCGAGGTTCTTGCGACCGTTGGGCTTGTTCAGGCTCATCTCGAACTGGTCATACTCCTTCCACAGGTTATTGACGTTAGCGATGGGCACACAAATAGCCTTCTGGTAAGCGGAGCGGATCTGATCCATCTTCTTCAGATCTTCCCACTGGCTTCCTCCCAGGGTGCCAGGCCCAGACTTGAGAAACTGAATGTAGTCGGCCCAGATCTTGCCGGAGTCCTTGTCGAACCCGATGTTGTTGAGCGCGAAATCGTACGCTTGATAGACAATTTGGCGAGCATTCCCATCGTTGAGGTCGTTGCGACGGCGGACATAGTCGAGATACTTTGTCCAGAGGGCGAGGTTCGGTGTGGATATGAGAGCGGTGCTGAAGATGCGCTCAGCCTCGTTGAAGTTATCGGTTTCGAGTTCCATCTCCAGCCATTGCACCCAGACCTCGGCCTATTCCATTGTTAGCATTGCGTTGTTGAGGCAGGGGGCGCAAGAGACATACCGCCTGAGGAAAGATGGCCAGGAACCGCTCGTAAGTCTCTCTGGCCTGGGCAATGTTGCCTCTGCACCGGTGCTCGGCCATCAACGCGAGCCATGCGTCCAAGGCTCCGCGAGGGTCTTCTGTAACTCGCTTCTCGAGCTGGGCGACCTTGTCGACAGGTACCAGAATTAGGGTCTCGGTAGGTGGGCTAAGGGAGCCATTGTTCGGCCCGTCGTCGGTCGGGGCGTCGGCCATTGTGTAATGTGAAGATGTTGATAATGACCTGAAGGTCTCGGTCGAGGGGAAGGTATCGCTGCCGCAATTGGCAAGGCTGCCGAGGTCGAAAGTGGTGATGCGCCGATATCAAACGGTGGTGATGGTAGAAAACTCGGATCAGTGCTGCTTGGGGAAACCGCAATTGGGGTAGGTAGGTCCACCGTCGATGAGAGACACAGCACTTGTGATGGCGATAGAGGCGGGAAGAAAGGGTGGGTGGGAGCAGGAAGCTAGCGAAAAGAAGAAAAAAATTACGCAGAGTCACTGAGAATCGTTGCGTCGCATGGATCACAAGAGACGGAGATTTTGACCAACAAGGCCTTTTTTTTGGCAGCGCACACAAAGAACTGGGGGACTGGGGACTGGGAGTCGCGCAGTAAGCAGGACCCAGATATTGAATGTAGGCTGTGCTATTCAAGAGAGGATGCTGCTATTGTTCTCAATGATGCCGTTGTGGAGCAAAGTTGTTGTTATTGTTGTTGTTGTTGTTGTTGTTGTCGCCGTCGTCGAAGATTTATAGTTCGACACACGTCTTCAAGGTGTGATAAGAGATGGACAAGAGATGGAAGCGCGAGTACATGCGCTTGGTTTTCTTTCTGCCAAGCTGTGGCTCAATGTGGCTTGTGGATAGATGGGCCTGGGCCAGGTGGCACGCACAGTGGGGAAGCGGGAGACAGGACAGTGGGGAATTGGGCGGCAATTCGCTGACCTAATTAGGAGCCCAGGGGACGCGACTCCCTGGCTGGCACTCTACGCGACCCTGAGAGAGCGACACGACTCAACAGTGAATGCCCCCCCGTGGCAGCGCGACGGAGCCTGTGCCTCTGTGTTTGATGAGTTCAAGCTGAAAAGTGCCCACCTTTTTGCCCACCTAAAACGAGACAAGACGGGACTGCGTTGCCATCCAGTGACCAGAATTAAAAAAGGTCGAAGCGCTGTCCATTCAAAACAAACAAATCTCTGTTTCCTTCTTAGCGCCTTTCCTGTTGCCTTTCCCTTCTTTTTCCCACCATCACCGCCCAACCATTTTCCACTTTCTCACCACCACCACCATCACCAACTACGCACAGCAGGCGCCGACTCTGCTTTTCTCTCTCTCTCTCTCTCACTCACACACACTCACTCACACACACACTCTCTCTCTTCTCTGGATTCAACTGTTTTATCTTATTTTGAAACACAAACTCAAAATGTCTGTCGTCACGCTTCTCGGCGTCAATGTGGCCAACAACCCCGCCAGGTTCACCGACAAGTACCTTTTTGAGATCACATTCGAGTGCCTGGAGCCACTTGAGAAGGGTATGTTTGCAACTTTTTTTCCGACTTTTGTTTCCACCCATATCTAACCCTCTCATCTCAAAACACAGACCTCGAGTGGAAGCTCACCTACGTCGGCTCCGCCCAAAGCGACTCCCACGACCAGGAGCTCGACTCCCTCCTCGTCGGCCCCATCCCCGTGGGCGTCAACAAGTTCGCCTTTGAGGCCAACCCCCCCGACACCAAGCTCATCCCCGACGACGAGCTCCTCGGCGTCACCGTCATCCTCCTCACCTGCGCCTACGACGGCCGCGAGTTCGTCCGTGTTGGTTACTATGTCAACAACGAGTACGAGTCCGAAGAGCTCCAGAACGACCCCCCTGCCAAGCCCATTATCGAGAAGATCAAGCGCAACGTGTTGGCTGAGAAGCCACGTGTGACTAGGTTCAACATTAAGTGGTATGTTACATTTTACAGTCTGCGACAGAGTGGGGCAGGTTGCTAATACGACTTGAAAAAAATAGGGACTCCGAGGCTACTGCTCCTGCCGAGTTCCCTCCTGAGCAGCCTGAGGCCGATTTGGTTGCTGATGAGGAGGAGTATGGTGCTGAGGAGCTTGCCGAGGAGGAGGAGGCTGAGCTAGCGGAGGAGGCTGCTGACGTTGGCGAGGCCACTGGTGCTGATAAGGATGCTGCCATGGAAGGCGTTGAGGGCGAGAACGGTGCTGTTGACGAGGAAGAGCTCTCCGATGACGGCAGTGTCGACATCGAGGGAGAGAGTGAAGACGACCTCGAGGAGGAAGAGCTCGACGGCGATGCGATGGAAACTGATGAGATGGAGGTCGACAAGCCTGCCGTTCCTGCCGCTGGCGCCCCTTCTGGCGCCCCAGCGCCCCAGGCTGATGCCATGGTGCACTGAACCGCCCCTTGAAGGGTTGGGAGTGCGAAGGAAACATAAAGCAGGAATATGATGTGACGGATAATGACTGGGGTTAGAGCGCCTGGGATATGTGTTTGTCATTTTTGCAAGCGGGACTGCGGGAGGTTTGGAGGCATTTCGGAATTCATACCCTAGACGTTCTGCTGCTGTTGAATTGATCACATCGGCTGGCGATGGTTTCTGTCGCATTTACGCTTAATTGCTGTCTCACGTGCATTTGTGAGCAATATCTGGATAAGGCATTGTCGAGCCGACCACTGACCAGCAACCCCTTCCTCCAGATCTAAAAAAGCTGATAGGTAACTGGGGATGACCAACCTGACAGTCGATTCGGTTCAGTACCTTACTTCTTGTATCTCGCTATTTATTTCTGCATGTTCAACATCCACATACCACCTGTCCCCAGAAATAAGACCTGTCCCCTCTCCAACAACATCGCGATATGTCCTGCCCATTGCCCCCCACGACGCTTCCAGGTCCCCGACTATCTCCCAAGCCGCCTCCGGCTTAATAACGGGCATCCAGTGAAACTCGTGAGTAATTCGCATCATTCCGTTGTCCGGTATCCTCTCTGCGCCCAAGCATTTGAACCCACAAAACCCCCTTGCCCAGAAATTGCGTGGTGTTAGGTCATCAAGCATGACTACATTCCACCCGCTATCATCTGTGGTTATTCTCGCCGCGGAGAACAGCTTCTTGGGTATCTCCTTCTCATCCTTCCAACTAATCCCTCTTGGTAAAAGTGTCATAGGGTAAAAGAACCTCCAGCCGTAACACACCAAACACCACTCGACCAGCGTCCGGTTCCGTGTACCTTCCTGGTTCAACAACCCCAGGGGATAATCCTATGGCTTGCCACATTCTCCTCCAAGGGACGTTGGAACGGCGATGTTCCATCCAGAGGACCCAGAACACATCTCAACTCTGGCGGTGTGTGCAGCAGGTTAAGACCACCAAAGCTAACATCAAGTTGCTCGACCACCACCACAAGTTCAGAAAATGCGGCACCTGGAATTAGAATTGCCCCAGCCACCAAGCACTCAAGTGTCGGAATCTGTCGGTCCAAAGGTGGTGGAGATCACCGAGGGCCAGCCCAATCCAAACAAAGCCGCTCGCTGCAAGTCATTGAACCGCCCCCTTGGCCAAAACTGCCTCCTCCGGATTCGGTTCCTGTGAGATCAACCTTGTGCAAATGCTCTTTCCAAAAGTCCTCGAGGTTGTCGATTAACTTTGGGCGACCAGCAAGATGGTCGACCGGTGGAGGGGAGAATCGCAGAGTGTCGAGTTGGCTGCGGAGGTCGTCTATAGTAGAGGTGGGCAAGAGCCTTAGAAGGCGGTAGCACTTTGATTGTCACCATGGCGAATGGTGGGAATAATGAGTTTGAGAGATACTCGGGGGAGCTACCTCTTTGGCTTCCGATGGTGGGATGATGTTTTCGTGAGAATGTTGGGATGTAGCTCCCAAAAGCCAAAGAGGCAGCTCCCCTGAGCATCTCTCATATTAAATTTATATCCTCGCTTGTATTTTGTAAATACTGAGCTTTGCCATGCCTCATCCAACCCTCTTCTCCCTCCCAACCTCACCCTTCTCCATCCTTAAATCCAGCGACTCCTCTCTCCTCCTCCAGTTCGGCACCCTCCACCCCCAACCCCAACCCCAACCCCAACCCCAACCCTTCCACACCCCCCTCCCAAACCACCTCCCCTCTCCCTCCCCCGCGAACCCCGTCTGCGCCCTCCTTACCTCCCCGCCCCCGATCCCCCGTTCCTGATAATGATGATACAAATGCCTCCTATCCCCCCCAAACCCCGTCCCCTCACCCCCTCCCACCTCCCTCTTCCCCTTCCCCTTCCCCTTCAGCCCAAACACTCTTCCCCCCAACCCCCTCACCCACCCCCACCCCCTCCTCACACTATCCATACTCTGCAACACCAGAATCAGCACAAAAAACGGTACACACACCCCAACAAGCGTAACCCCAAACCTCCAATCCTCCGGCTCAATCTCCAACGTCGTGATACTAAACACCCCAACCACAAACGTCAACGGCAAAAAGACCATCGACACGCTCGTCAGTATCTTGATATTCTTCCCCTGCTCGATCGCCCTCCTGCTCTCCTTGACCGAACTCCCACTAAACAACTGCTCCCTCAGACTCCTAATCTCCGTCCTCGTGGCCTCATTCCTATCATACACCACCTTCAGCTCCGAAACCGCCTGCTCCAGGTCCTGACGTAGAATATCCAGTTTGCCCAGGTAGTCGCCGCCATTGCTGGCACAAGGCCACAGCGTCGGGTGTCTCCCCTCCCAAAAATCCCTCGTGAAGTTATTCACGTACGCCGCGCTCATGGATTTGATGCCTTCATTGATAACCCCCAGCGTGTTATACGCCCAGAAATACCGCCGCGAGTAGGTAAAGTGCGAGTCTTCAAACAGGAGCTTGTCCCGAAGCCGGACGTCAAACATGAACTGATTCGGGGGCGTGATCAGTTTTGTTATCGACTCGTTCAGTTCGGTGTAGCGCTTGATCGCGTCGCGGTATTCCAGCCTCAAAGCATCCAAAAACGCGTGCGGCCCGTTGAGAAAGTGTTTCTGCGTGCCGTCGGAGCGGATGGTGGGGAAGGGGGAGTGGTGGTCGTCGGGAAAGTACTGGATGTTGACCAAATGCCAGGGGGCAAAGGTGCTGTACAGGTTCCCCGACTTGGTCTTGCGTTTTGCCCGCACTTTGACCTGGGAGGAGACGGGCCCGGAGAGGGAGAGGGCGAGGATGGAGGAGCATTCGGTTATGTCTATGTGATCCGGCGAGCGGTGGTCTAATGGGCGGGGATCAAAGGGTTGCCAGGGGGTAGGGGGGTGGCCCGAGGCGATGATGGTGTAGTATTTGAAGACGAAAAAGAAGGAGCGCTGACGGAGGGGAGTGGGCTCGATGGAGCGGTTGAGTGTAGGCTTTGGTTTTGCCTTTGTTGCCGGCGGTGGTGACGAGGTGGGAGAGGAGCTCGTCCATTGTCTGAAGTGGTCTTTCATGGTGAGATGGGTGGCGGCGAGCATGACGGGGGTGGGTTCTTGGAGAATTCTTCAGGGCGGTCAGCACAAGGGGTCTTTGATGATGGGATGAGGGGTGACTGACGATATCCTACCGACGGCGTTCCCGTCGGCGTTGATAGTCTTCAGAACGGGCCAGACGGATATGTCTCTGTTCTCTCCGTTCTCGTCCCCATGATTGGGACAGGCTGAGCCTTTTACAAGACAAAGTGGACGTATCTGAGTGGGCACGCCGTCTCTGTCGACCTCATATATCTGATAGCTGGTGTGTTCATATTTGGTGCCCTCTCCTGTCTCGAACGATGTGAGCAGGTTGGCGGGTGTCAACTCGTCCCTCCTCTCCCATGCGTCTGCCAGGGCAATTATGGTGCCTGATGTGGATCCATCTTCGGTTGATTTAATGGATTGGAGATGTGAGACGAGCTCTTCCTCGGTCTTCTCTATGCTAGGCAATGCCTCTATGACACAGGATGGCGACGATTGCGAGCTGCTGCTGCGGGAGGCAGGCGGACTGGTCAAGGTGAGAAAGTCGGGGGAGTGTTCTCTCTTTGGGATTCCATCATTGATGAGTGTTGGCCGTGATCTCGGAGACTCATTTGTGAGCCGGCGAGCGGATGTAGTGACGGCGGACTGAGGAGGTGCGTTGGAGATGGTGGCAACTCTTTGAAGAGTGGAGGCGGGCCAGTCAACACTCGATGGGCGAGGACGCTGAACCGGATTGGACTGCGCTTCTCGATACTGATGAAGAGTTTTGATGGATTGTTGAAGAAGCTCCAATGATTTGAGCAACTCATCCACACGAGAGTTTTCCATGTTTCGCAGTAGTGATCAAGGTGCTGTTAACAGACCGAGTGAGCGTATAGCTCAAGTTGGAACATGAGAGAATACCACGTACTCCAAGCAGACCATCGTGAAAAGACGGCCATTTATTGTGGCCAGGATCCCCTTCACATCTGCTCAAACCGGTCAGTCATTGGTCAGCATGGCTCCCTCCCAGCCTCGTCCGCCCTCCATCGATGGGATAATGCAGTAGCAAGCCGGCGTGGGTGATGAAACCAAACATTGGATGGAAAACGTGGGACAGCAGCGAATGGCAGTCTTTGAAACAATCCAGCCGCAATGGAGGCCGTCGTAATTGTGTGGCACCCTCACCAGAAAATAATTAAGACACTAAAGTAGGTTAACATGGGTTGGAGGATAGTCCATAGGCCTTTAAAGATGGTTTGTAGGCCTTCAAAGACAGTTAACAGGCCTTGAAAGTTCGTTCAAAGGCATATTGAATTACCTTTGAGGCATAGTTCATAGCATGATATGGGTTAACTTACTTTGGTGTCTCAATTATTTTGTGGGCAGGGTGTGTGGGTGGCATGAGCCAAATGTTGGTGATCTCCAAGTGAGGCTGTACAAAATGTACTTGGCGGCTACTGACGGCAAGCGCCCGGCCAGATGGAGTCTTTGAGCCAGAGTATCACATGATGAAGCTCAAACTTCCTGAACTGATAGATTCGAGGTAAATTGATGCGAGTTGAAGTAAATACGCACTCTCGAGAGCCAAAGATGAAAAGAGTTTGGAAAGTAGTCATCCCATGGGGGAGCCTGAGATGTGTGTGACACACACCTTCTTCCACCGACCTCCTATTTGGGAAAGCAGCCCCTTCAGCCTTCGTCCCAACCCCTCTCTCACGCGATCTGTCAAGGCTGTCATTTTTGGAGAAACAAGAAATAATCAAGAAACAAAATGTTTATACCAATGGTGTATCAAACCCGGCCAGAACGCCTTGCTCTACCGCCCCCAAAAGCCTGCCCCTCCTACTGACTGACGCCCGTCACCTCACCTCCTGCCGTCCCATCCAACGGCGGCCCCTCATTCCCTCCTGTCGCTGCCTTTTCCTTTTCATATTCCTCCGGTGTCTGACACTTCGCGCTCCAGGCGTGTATCTGCGCGATTTCGTCTTTGAGGGCGGCATTGACCAGCCGATGCCTCTTTAGCGAGTTCTTGCCCACAAACTCGGGCGAGACAATCAACGATGTGAAGGCTTGCCCGCAGCCACCTTGTGATTCAAACTGTGTCAGCATCGGCGGGTTTCATTCTCAACTGAAAATGACGTCAGGGGCATGTGACAGAGGAAAGCAGCGGGCATACCGGACATGTCCCGAACCTCGACATGAGAGGCCTTGAGGCGGTCGGTGAGGGCCGCCCTTACGGAGTCTTCGGTGATTGACTGGGCCATGGTGTGTGTTTCTGTCGATGAAGAATAGTGATGTTGCTCAGACTTTGTGACTGCCCCGCCATGTTATGCTTGGCAAGATCTGATAAGGGTTGGGGTTTTGTGTGTGGAATTGCTCCCATCCAGCATTCAGTTTGCTTTGGTTGGTTCGTTCACCTTTCACCCCACCTCTCCACCTCTCTACCTTCTCACTGTCTAGTCTCTCACTGAAGCTCTTACACTGCAAGCATTTCACCTGTGACCTCACTCTCGCTACAAAATCTCATCAACAAAAGCTCAGTCACAGATGAACTTCACTTCTTCTCTCCTCAGAACAACACCAAGACTCATTTCGTCCTTTGCCAACTCTACCCAACCGAGAACCTTCACCATGGCCGCCATGCAGCGCCCTGCCTTTACCGAGCGAGTCGTCAAGGCCATGCAGGCCTTGCAAGTCTTCTTTTTGTTTATTCAATGTATAAATACTAACGGGACTGCAGGTACCCTGAGTCTCTTGCCGACCGCAACTGGGACAACGTTGGCCTCCTCCAAGAAAACTTCACCACCCCTTCCACAGCTACAACCACCTCCCCTGTGGTCCTCCTCACAAACGACCTCACTCCCGCGGTCGCCCAAGATGCCATTTCCCGCAAAGCCTCTGTAATAGTCTCCTACCACCCTTTCATCTTCCGCGGCCTCAAGTCCATCACCCTGGCCGACCCCCAACAGCGCATTATTTTGCTGCTGGCCCAACACAACATCGCCGTTTACTCCCCCCACACAGCCATCGACGCCGCCCCAGGTGGCATGGCCGACTGGCTCGCCCAGATGCTCTCCTCCCTCCCAGACCGCACCACCACCATCTCCACCGTAACCCCAGTCGACGCCTCCTCCCTCCCCGAGAAATTCGCCGGCGCTGGTTATGGCCGAAAAGTCCAACTCTCCAAACCAGCCGGCCTTGGAGAACTAGTAAAGCTCTACGCCAAAGGCCTCGGCGGCCTAAAACACGTCATGGTCGCCCGCCCCAAATCAGAAGGGCAGTTCATGGTCAAGACAGTGGCTGTCTGCCCAGGGAGCGGGGAGAGCGTACTGGCCGGTGTCAAGGACGCTGATCTGATTGTTACCGGCGAGATGTCGCACCATCCTGCGCTCAAGCTTGTCATGGAGGGGAAGGCGGTGATCAGTGTGTTTCACAGTAATTCGGAGAGGGCTTTCTTGAGGGATGTCCTCAAGGGACAGTTGGAGGAGGAGCTGAAGGAGGTGGAGGGGCTGGAGGTGTTGATTAGCGAGGAGGATCAGGATCCCTTCCAGATAGTGGATGCTGAAGATTTGCCGAGTGATATGAGGATGCAGACGGTTTAGGTGGCCGGTCGCGGGGTGGGGGACCTACCGGAGCTGCAGCAACCGCAGGTTCAGCAGCCATCAGTGCCTCCCATATCACTCCTCCTTCACTTTCACCTTACTCTTCACTCTTTCGATGCTACACCCTCAACAAAACAATGACCTCGCTACGCTGTGGACAAAAAGTAACTGGCACTGCAAGGTAAGCTGACGTATGATAGTACCCTAAACTATGCCTCAAAGGATGGTCAATAAGCCTTTAAAGATGCTCGAAATTCTTTTAGAAGTAGCTAATAGACCTTGAAAGATAGCTAGATGGCTGATAAACCCCAAAATATACTTGATATGCCTAGTTCCCCTTTTGAAAGGATATAAATTAACGGCTACTACACATTGTACTGAGCTGCAGTACCAACAACCCCCCCCCCCCCTTCCTTTCCCCCCATCCCTTTTGAACTCCGATCCTAACCAGTGCCCTCCCCAGTCGCCTCCCCCCTCAACCTCTCCAACCGCCCTTCATTCCACGCCCGATTCCAAACCTCCACCTTCCCACCCAAACACTCACACCTCCCCGGCTCGAGCATCACCACCCCCCTGCTCACGCTCGTTCCCTTTTTCAATAGCCACTTCTCCCCCATATTCGTCTTCCCCACACCAAGCTTCTCCACCCTGACCAATTCCAGCCCGTAAATCTTTCCCCCTTTTGGATCCTGAAAAAGAATTCTATGCGTTGCTTTCCCTTCTCCCCTTTGCTGCGTCTGGAACTGTGTCCCCGCCTGCGTCCCTTGATCAACCTCCCCATCCCCCCTCGCGGTAGGTAACCTGACAACCTCCCTCCCCCTCTTCTCCTCCCCCCGAGCCTTGGCTTCCAACTCCTCCACTTGCTCCCACTTTGACTTGGAGATGTTGATGATATCCAACACTTGAACCACCACGTCGTGAGGCAAGGTGGCAGATTTTGTGAGAGGGTTGGATATCTCAGTGGGGAGGGAGTGGGAATTGATGTAGACTGGGTCGAGGATGTCGGTGGTGATGTCTGAGGATAATATTCTCGCGCGGGTGGTTGCTAATAAAGAGGGGAAGGGGGGAGGGGGGTTGCGGGATTGGACTAGGCGGGTTAGGAAGGGGAGGGAGGGGAAGGGGAGGGCGGTGGTGGAGAGGGCGGTTTGGAGTTGGAGGGAGAGGTCCATTTGGTTGTTTTGAGGGGGCCGGGGCACGTTGGTAGGTGGGCTGCTGGGTCCGATAGTGGATGGTGCTGCGGGAGGGGGGGCCATGAGCCGGCGTTGCTGGGTGGGACGGTCGTGAGGAACGGGTTGGGTTGGGGGTCGCTTTTGGGGGGTCATAGGGGGTAAAGTGTCCGGTTGGCTGGTGCGATTCTGCTGTGGAGCAGATCGAGGTGAGAGATTGGTAACGGTCGTCCTTGGGTGGTTGCGGGGAGGGACTCGGAGTGTGATCTTGTTTTCTTTGGTGGGATTTGTGCCTTGAGAATCTGTGTGGTTTTGATTGCTGTGATTCCGGGATGCTGCTGCCTTGGACTCTGCTGGTTTGTGGCTGATGAGATCTGAGTGAGAGCGTTGCCGAGGCTGGATCACGTTTGGGGTGACCGGAGCTTTCGCAGACTGTGGTCCACCTCTTTTTGACTTTTGATTGCCAAAATCGGGCTGAGGGGCAACTTTAAACCGTGAAACGGTCTTGCCGGCGACACTCTTGCCAGGTGGCGTCTGGGAATTAATAAGGAGACTAGCCAGGTCGATCGGATTGGAAGAAGACCCCAGCTCGTGGGACTCTTCTGTATCGCTATGGTCGTCTAAATGAGAGGGCCCGTCGTTCGAGTCGCTCTCAAATAGTACACTGTCCGCAAGAGAAGAAAACGTGCTATCGTCCTGCTGATCCTCGCTGCCAGAATCTGCTGCTGAGAGCGACCGAACATTCGGATCAGTAGGTCGCCTCAGAAATCTGAGCGGGGAATCAACATAAGAACTCCCATAAGGATGAAATCGTCGATTGTTGCGGGACCGACCCGGTTCTGGAGCCATAGTTAAATAATGTTAGTTCGCGATACTCTCATATGGTGTTTGTATTGAAGAATAGGTGGTGAATAGGTATACTTTTAGTTCACAGCAATCCTCGATATGAATTTCCTCTTACCCAAAGCAAACAAAGAAACTTTTCTTCCCGTGATTTAATCTCACAATGCTCTCGTCAAGTTCAAATGACTCCCCATCCCATCATCTCGGTTTCTCAACTGAAGTTGTTGAAGCTCAGCATCGAGACCCACTGTCGTTACAAGGTCAGCCGCTAACAAAGACCCCTGCATCTGCGGGGAATTAGCGCGGTCCCACTCCCTCGGGAAGGATCCGCCTACTTTCCAAGAGACACGACGTCAATTCAACCCTTATAACCTTACCTCAGCTTCATCAACCAAACACGACTCTGTCAGCCTCGTCAACCTCAACTATTCCCATCACCCACAACTACCCATTCCCAACACCAACACACCCGCCACCACCACACCCGACACCACCACACCCGACGCCACCCATCACCAATAGAACCACAACCACCACCAATCCCATCCCCAAAATGTCAACAATAGCCACCCCCCGCGACCCCCCCCGTCGAACCCCCTCCTCCTCAAACCTCTACACTCCCACCACCTCCGCCCGCCCCTCCCCCCCGCCAGCATCAACCCCCGCCTCAATCCTCGACTCCCCCTCCTTCTCCCCCACGCAGTACCTAACCTCCCTCCTCGAGTCCTCCTCCCTCTCCTCCCTCCTCCAAACATACACCCGCCTCCTCTCGGAAATCCGCGCCCTCGACGCCGAAAAAAAGGCGCTAGTCTACGACAACTACTCCAAGCTCATTACCGCCACTGAAACAATCCGCAAAATGAGAACAACGATGGATCCGTTAAACCCAATGGCGGGCACGATAGATCTTGTTGTGGGGAGGGTGTACGACATGGCTAGGGGGTTGAGGGAGGAGATGAGGGAGCATTGTGGTGGGGAGCAGGGGAGACAACAAGGGGGTGGTGGGATGGCGGATAGAAAAAAGAGGACGAAAGAGTTGGTGAGGGAGGTTTATAGGGGGATGGAGAGGATGAGGGGGTTTGTGCAGCAGGGGGATAGGCCGCAGGCGGAGAAGGAGTGGGAACTGCCGAGGAGGTTGTTGGTCAAATGGCAGGAGATGGGGGTGGGCGGGAAAGAGGTCAGGGAGTTGTTGAGAGAGGGGGATGGGATTTTAAAGGGGGAGGACAATGGTGAGGAGGGGAGTGATTAGTTTGGATGAAATTATTGATGGAAAAGGGGCAAGCGAGGCAGGGGAAAAAAAAGACTAGAGATACCCATTGCATTTTTCGTTTTGCTAGACGCGCAAGAGCAAGATACTTGATTTATTCTTTTTTTCTTTTTTTTTGGGTTGAATCCACCAACATCAGACATCTCAAAAACTGCCCTTGATCATACCGCAAACTCATCGCTCCAACATCAACATAGTCCCCTAAGAACGAATGATGGCATCCCCCAAACTCCTCCACCCCGCCCCCTCCCAAGGCGCCACCATCACCGCCGTTTGCGCATCCATCACCTTGCCCGTCCCGGCATAAGCCCTGGCCAGCTCCTCGGCCGGCAGATCCCCCCTCGGCGCAACCCCCTTGATCGCAACCCTCAACGCCATCTCCGCCGCCCCCTCCCCATCCCCCGCCGTCCCCTCCAGCCCAGCAAGTTCTGCCCACCCATGCGGCAAGTAAGGATGGAACATGACATCCGCCTGCGCCTGGCCCTCCTCACCACCACCACCACCACCACCAGAGCCCAGTGCAGCCACAGCCTTGAGAACCTCGCCCAGCTGGCTCTGCTCCGCAGCAGACACCCCCTCATCACCCGACCGAAGATTCTGCAGCTCTGACACCACAGCCTCAAGCGACTCGTCGTCTTTATCCAACAGCGCAATCACGCCCAGCAAGCAGACCGACTGAACGTGGCTGGGGTGTTGCTCAATGACTTCAAACAGGACATCTCTCGCCCTCTCACGCGCGTCATCCTTACCGGTTGCCCAAAGGACCTGAGCCAGGACACAGGCAACGTCGGGGTTGCCGTCCGATTCTTGAATCGCCTGCTCAAAGGAGCCGACGGCGTCGTCGACGTGGTCGAGGTGGTACTGCGCTAATCCCATAGACACATGCGCAGAGAGGCGCAGCCGCTTACGTTCCCCGGCCGTGAGCTCGCTGTCGGACTCGTCGCTGGAGAGTTGAATGGCCATTTCAGCTGCTTCGATTGCTTCGACGTTGAGGCCTTGCGCCAACAGAGCGCGGGCGAGGTCGGTTTTGGCAATGGAAAAGTGCTTGAGTGCTTGGGGGGACTCGGTGACTTCGTATTCTGCTTCGGCTTGGGTGCAGATGTTTTCGAGGTTGTGGGCGGCCCGTTGGTATTCTTGGGTTCGTTCCTGGAACAAGGCAGAGAGGTGACCGTAGGCCAGATCTTGAGGTTTGAGGCCCTGAATTTGGCCGAGAGCGAGAACGGGCTGGACCAAGGAAGTGATGGGAAGGTCGGATGGGGATGACAGGATGTGGTCAAACATGGAGACGGAATACAGACGTCTGGTGGCGAGGGAGGATGCTTCAGAAATGTCCATCGAGTGGATGAACAGGCCGCGGGCCTCCTTCTGATCACCCAGGAGCAGAGCGACAAGACCCTGACCAAGCCAGGCATGGGCAAAGTCGGGATCGGCAGATTGGGCCTTGGTAAAGACCTCGTTGGCAAGCTGGAGGTCGCCTTGAAGGAGTGCAAGAACACCCAGATTGGTCCAAGAGTGAGCACCTCTCTCGTTTATGTGGAGGCTGCGCACAAACGAGTGTTGCGAAACGGATGGGTTCACAATGCTGGTGACCACTCCGAGAGCGTTCCAGAACTCAGAGTTGCCGGCCTCGAGCTCAATGGCCCGCTTGAAGCAAGAAATAGCAGCCTTGAGATACCTCGTAGCCTTCTTCCTCAGATGAGATGGAAGACACGAATGAGCTCTGTACTCGGCCCATCCCAGGTTGTAGAACGCCACGGCCTGGGCATGAATGTCGTTGGCAGACAGGTGAACGGCGCGTTTGTGTGCCAGGATGGTGGCATGCATAGCTCTGGTCAAGTCGATTCCCATCTTCTCATTGTCATGGAAAATTCCGTTGGTGCTAACAACGGCGGTGCCGACTCCATCGATATCCTTCAGCACCTGGTACTCGGGGGCAGCCTCGTCGCTTCCGAGCAGCCCTTGCACCAGCTCCCTGGGAAACTCTGACAACCGGCCTTGGACGCTGGTGAAGAGGGAGCAGGCATCGGCAATCGCTCTCCAAAAGTTGAAAGTGTCCTTGATGGCCGCAGGAGTCTCAACCGCAAACCGCAGCGCTGACACAGCATGGTCGATAGACTTGCCAAAAAAGCCCTTGTCTAAACTGACGAGAGCATTGTCCACCATCGCTTGCATCAGCGAAATGGCGACACCATCTTCCTCCGGTCTATCTTCCAAGACCTGCTTGTACAAGTCAATGGCGTCATCAAAGTCGCCAAGCTCACGCTTGACCTCGGCGAGAATGAATCTGGTGAACCACGTCTCTTGTCCTGTGATCTCTACATCGGGTGACTCCTCCAGCTTCTGGGCATTCAGAAGAGCTTTGGTGGCAGCGATATACCGACCTGAGCCATGGTAGCTCTCGCCGAGACCAACCCAAGAGTGGTAGTCATTTGGTGATATTCTGAGGGCAGCCTGGAAAGAAACAATGGCCTTGTGGTAATCCTGCTTGTTGAGCTCGGCCACGCCGAGAGCAGAAAAGGGCCAGCTGATACCCTTACGCTTGGATCCAGGCGGCGGCTTGACCTTGCCCGAGTCAACAACTCGCTGAGCAACGAGCTCGACACGGTCCCAGTCGCCGTCGTCAGCAAAAGACCTGGCAAGTCTCTCTGCAGACAAAACTTCAGATGGAGAGAGCTCGACTGCCTTCTGGAAACATCTCCGAGCTCTCTTCTTGTCCTTGGCATAGTCTGCATAGTAGATACCGAGGATAGTGTAGGCCGGGGCGTAGTTGAGATTGCTCTTGAGGGACTCCAGGAAGTAATTGTAGGCACCGCTGCGGCTCTTCCTGGCAGACCTGGATGTGTCGAGGTTCCAAATGCAATAACCGAGACGATATTTCGTCTGCGAAAGCAACTCCTTGTTGTTCTGCCCCTTCTCGGTCAGCAGTGGCATGCAGGCCTCGAGCTCGGCCTTGGCGGCAGCAAAGTCTCCTTTCAGAGCCTTGACCCAGGCAGCCTCCGTCTTGACACGGAGATTGGTTGGGTCGCCCAGCAGGGCACGTTCCAAAAAGCCAACTGCTTCATCATACTCCTCTTCTTCCTCATAAATCAGACCCACGCCAATCATGGCTGGGGTGGATGTGGGATCGTGCGCCAAAACACCATCGAACAAGCTCTTGGCTTCTTGATGGTGACGAGGAGATTGGTAAAAGACAAGTGCGGTGCCGAGATACAAAGAGTAGGCATCTCCTGTATTCCGGAACGCCAGGCCTGTCTTGGTCCGCTCTGTCTTGAGAAGGTCGATTGCTTTACGCATCAACTCGACGTTGCTTTCGTGCTCCTCGAGATGTTGGTTGTACTCGCCCATGAGTCGGTACGCAAACAACGAATCGCCAGAGCTAATGCCCTCCGTCATCATCAACAGTCGGTCCTCCTCTGTGAGAGGAACATATGTTGTGGGCACACCTCCAGCATCATCGTCCTCGCTCTCATCCTCTGGCTCACCATCCGCTGTGACATCATTTGGCGCTGGTGTTTCCTTGGGGAATGGCGAGACGTCGCTAGTAAGAAACCCCATGATGACTCTGTTCAGGTCACTGTCCGGGAAGAATGAGCAATATTGTCTGAGAATGGTGACATCCCATTCCTTGATCTCCTTGTGGTCCTGCCAGTTGAGAGCAATGTCCCAAGCAAACTTGAATGGGTGTCTAATGATGACCATGTCGTTTGCCAGTTTCCGAACAACTTCCATCTCTTGTTGCTTTTCCTCCCCAGGAGGCCAAGCCAAGAGCCGGTCGTAACAATACTGAAGCAACTTTTCTTCGCATGTGCGCCGGAGCTCGTCATCGGCAGTCCAGTCGATGAGCTGCCTGTAGATGTGGCCGAGTTTGCTTTGGCGGTAGACTTCCCTCTTGACCTCCAAAGTCACTTCGCTGACGCGGGCTCCGATTCTGGTGCGCCTCTCGCCAATAAGCGTGTTTATCCGCTTCTTCTCCTCGGGCTCGACAATCTTGGCCTGAATCTCATAGGTCTTGGCAGGGTGAGGCACACGGCCTTCTAGGGCCTCGTACAGAGGGCTTCCTGGCAGTTGGATGTCCAAGGCATCGACGTACTGCAGCCGTTCGCCCTGTGTACGTGCATGGTCGACGAACTTGTCGACAACGTCCTGAAACTTGAACATCTCATTGGTGTCCCGAAAGATTTCGCCAAGCTTGATGGCAGCATGTTTGTACTGCTTTAGCTTTTTGTTGCCCTGCTTTTGGTAGAGCCTGATCAGGCCTTGCCAGGCCTGGGTGTCGCCTGGTTTGATGTTGGTGGCGGCAAGATAGGTGTTCTCGGCATCCTCGAGCATGTTCTTCTTGTCCAGCGCAAAAGCCAGAAAGATGTGAGCATGGTAGTTTTTGGGGTCCCTTTGGAGGACCTCGTTGGCGGCTTCTCTGGCATCGTCCCATTTCGACTGTTTGATGAAGTCATTGACGGACTTTAGCATGGCCTTGGTGCTGGACATTTTGAGGGATGGTGGATGAGACCTCGCTCATCGGGCTTCTGGGAACAGGTAAAAGAAAAAAGTAATCAAAGCAACGACGACAAGTTCAACAATGGTGAATTCGATGGTCATGAATGAAGCTGTTGATGCTCAGTTCAGAATGCCAGGCGTCGTGCTGCAACTGCCACAGCGGCGCAAACCAGGCGTGGAGGGGCAGCGGACCCACTATTAATCCCCCACCAGAGCTGCCTTATTTCAATCTAGACAGCAGTCAACAGTAGGAAAGAAGCAGGGGATATGACTAATTAAGTTGCTGTTTGTTGATAGAGTGTCTTTGATTAAGTTCACCATGATAATGAAATCTAGCTTGGCCATTCGTCTTCAACCGCTTGATGTTTTTACTCCTGGTAGGACAACGTCATCAGACCTAAACTAGCCCTACGTGCCTACCATAGATCACGGGGAAGGTCCAGGTTCACTTTACACAGTACTTGCAAGTTCCGAGTCACCATCAATTA